CAAAATAGCAAAAAAAAAAAAAAAAAAAAAAAAAACTGGATTTGCTTGAATTTGTTTCTCCAAAGTGCAATTATTAATAACAAGCTGTCTTTAAAAACCTGTGAGTATTTACTGAAATTATTAAGGAAGGCTTTTCACCTGGGTTTGTTGGGATCTGTATCTTGAAATTATAAAGTATTTTTGAATGAAAACATTATATCGAATGATGTCTGGCTTAAGCTGTGTTTATGTGGAAATGTGCAACAGAATCTGGGGCTAACACACGCAGTAGCTGGCTCATCTAGTATGCATACCGCAAAGCCTAGGATTTGATCTACGATTTGAAAGAAAATTATCTGCATAAAATATAAAAACAAAAGAAAAATAAAGATATAAGAAGAAATTCATTCAAGCAACATGAAAAAGCTAAACAATTATTGAAACAAAACTTATTAAAAAATAAACATATTACAAAAACATAAGCTTCTAGCTGGATTGAAAAGGAATCAAAAAGACAGCATTAACATTCACTATCAGCAGTAAAAGAAGATATTCTTTTCTACATAAGTGAACTAAATTGATGATTGCTTCTTTTTGGTTTTGGTTTTTGGTTTTGTTTTGTTTTTTGAGACAAGGTTTCTCTGTAGCTTTGGAGCCTGTCTTGGAACTAGCTCTTGTAGACCAGGCTGGCCTTAAACTCACAGCAGTCCACCTGCCTCTGCCTCCTGAGTGCTGGGATTAAAGGCGTGTGCCACCACTGCCTGGCACTGATTACCTCTTTTAAACTGTTTGTTTGACAGTGATGAGAAGGAAGAACAGGATCAAAAGGAAAAATTGGTGTTGACTGAAGACTGTGAACTCATTACAGTAATCAACATAATTCCTGGCAGATTAGAAATCACTACTCAACACATTTACTTCCATGATAACAGTATTGAAAAAGAAGATGGTGAGTAGTTTTGGGAAAATACCTTCAGTATTCAGTTCCATCAGTTAGGAATTAGAGGGAGAAAGAAGCAAAAATTATTGTAAAATTATGGTTTTTCTTATAAAATTAAAAAGGGAAAGCCAATAATGAATTAGGTTCATCCCACCATTATGTATTGAAGGGGAATGATAATTTGTATATATAGACACATACACACACACACACACAGTATTAGTGATTAAAGCCAAGGCCATTTTTTGATTTTGGGGTTTTGTTTGTTTGCTTGCTTGTTTGAGACAGGGTCTCTGTATAGCCCTGGCTATTCTGGAACTCTGTAGTTCAGGCTCGCCTTGAACTCAAGAGATTTGGAAACCAGGGCTGTATTCTTACACAAGACAGATGTTACCCAGGCTGATCTTACACTTAAAATCTTCTTGCCTTAGCCTTCTGAGTGGCTAGGATTATAGGTATGCATACCCACAGCCAATTGCTTTTTGTCATTGCCATCATTATTAGTGTATTTTAAGAGTTTTGGCTTGAGGGTATCACAATAAACTTATGGTTACGAAACGCAGTCTTAATTTTATCATACCTTTGTGTGTTATGTACCATCCTGTAAGTGCTTACTTTTTTATGATTAAATCTGAAGATCCAGCATCTTAGGAAGAGAAAGATTTCTAAAGTATGAATATTCAAAAGTATCATCTATTCTTATAGAAAGGTAGTAGAATAGCTTTGGGATATACATGTTTCCTACAATGTGGTATTTCTTTCCCCTAAGTACTACTTTTGGAAACGAGATGTTTTGCATACAATAAGTAGCTTAATTGGCACCTCAGTCACAGATTTCTTCTGTTTTCAGGAATAGGCTTTGATTTTAAGTGGCCTCATTCTCAAATTCGAGAGATTCACTTACGTCGTTACAACTTAAGAAGATCAGCACTTGAGATATTTCATATTGATCAATCTAACTACTTTCTCAATTTCAAAAAAGAGGTATGGTACCTTTCTGATAATCACAGAGTATTATTTTGGAATAACTTCCAGCTATTGAACTCTAATTGTGTTTTGGACTATATTCCTATCCATTGAAAATATTAAAGGAGAAAATGTATTCTGAGACTAGTCAGTATATAAACTTTTATTGGTATTTGGGGGGGGGGTGTATAGTAGAACATTGAATATCAACCAGTAGATGCCAGACATCTGATTATCTTATAAGCTTAGACAAGCTGTGCATAGTGTGCTTGGGTTTCCTGTTCTCTTCTCAAGAGGACATTATGTCAATATGATGTTTCAGCCTCATGACACTGTGTTTTTTTTTTCAAACTAAATGTGTGGAAGTTGTAGTGTACCTGTAGAAACCACAGGGTAACGTAATAAGAGTCAGTTCTTTCATTCCACAATGTGGTTCCTAAGGATCAAAGTCAAGCAATTAGAATTCCTGGTAGGCACCTTCATCTGCCATTTTATTGTCTCCATGACCTCATTTAAGATTGAAATTTCCAAATACCCCATCTCCAATTATGAATCTGTTATTTGAGGATCAGTTTTCTAAATCATAAACTTTAAAAGAACATATTTAAACCACAGCATCAAGTATAGTAAAGAAATTAAAAGCATAATCCACTGTTGATATGAAATGTCCAGAAGAGTTGAAGTTATAAAACAGGTAGTGGATTAGGATTTTCAAGAAAACAGGGAGTAAGCAGAATTGGAGATAACTGCTAACAAGTTGTGGAGTGGTAAAGATTCTCTGAAGTCGAAAAAAAATTAATAATAATGGCACAACTGTGAAGCAAGAAGAAAATACTATTATTCTTAAAGGATTATGTCTTGATAAAACTGTTAAAAAACCCTTAATCCATATTTGTCTTGACAAGTTTTTAAACTAAACAGTAGTATTTTTTGTAGGTTAGAAACAAAGTATATAGCAGCCTGTTGTCACTTCATTCTCCTAATAGTTATCGAGCAAGATCACCACAAGAATTGTTCAAAGCATCAGGATTGACACAGGTAGGAAAATTTATAGGTTGTTGTTATCATTCGTTTTATATCTCAGAATTTTGTACTGTTTTCTAACTGCTCACAACCATTTATTGATTCATTCATTCATTCATTTACTCATTCATTCATTTGGTTGGTTGGTTGGTTAGTTAGTTAGTAAGTTTGGTTTTGTGGATACGAGTCTGTCTAGCTTTGGCTCACCTGGAACTCATTATGTAGATTAAGTCTGACCTCAGATACACAGAGATTGACACTCTGTCTCCTACATACTGGGATTAAAGGTGTGATCCACCACTCCTGGCCTTTGTTCTTTCATTTATAGTGTGTGTGTGTGTGTGTGTGTGTGTGTGTGTGTGTGTGTGTGTGAGAGAGAGAGAGAGAGAGAGAGAGAGAGAGAGAGAGAGAGAGAGAGAGAGGGAGGAGGGGATTGGAAACAGGGCCCCATGCATGCCAGGCTCTTCTGTGAAGTTCCCTAATCAAGAATATGTTGTTGTCTGAAATAATCCTTGTTTAATAAGATACAGTTAATTTTGCTTTTGAATAAACTTTATTCATTAACTATTGATTTTTCAACTTTATACCTAAGAACAATTGAGCTTCCTATATATAGAAATATATCGCAATATGGATTTCACTTTATAGATTGCAGCATACAAATTTCATTTTTCACTATTCACCATAATTATAACCTTTTGCTTTTGGTCCACAGTGGGTTAACGTTGATTGATAGTCTATCAGGAAAACTCTGATGTATAACTCTACTGTGTATGCACATTAGAAAACTAAATGATTAATAGAAAGGAATGTTTTTTCCTATCTAATCCCACCTCATTTTACTCTGTACAGGTGTTTTTTCTTCTTCAGATAGTTAATCATTCTAAAATCCAATAACCTTAGCTTAGCACATAGGATGTTAAGCTTTAGATGTTAAAGTACTTCCTTCTAGTATGCATAGTTATAAAAGTGTCAAAAGTAGGGTCTTTTTAGAAATTAATTTTTAAGATAAATAAAATATTTAGTTGAAGAAGACAATTTTTCTTCTTTCCCCTCTGTGTTACATGAGACTAAACCCAGAGTATTACACTGCAAGTGCTCTACACCAACCTATGTCCCTAGGCTTTTTTTTTTTAATGGGTTGGTGTATTAGCTAGGGCATCCTCCAACTTGCCATTCTCCTAAATTATACTCTTGAGTAGCTAGAATGAAGCATACACACTATGACACCTGGCAAGGCCTGGCAGAACTTAATTCTTATTTAAGACTTCTCAGAGTATGGTATAATGCTTTTGTTTATTTTTTTTTGCTCTTTGTCTTAGAGACTAATTTTCAAAGGAGACGTTGATTTATCTTTATGTTAAACTTCTTTAGCTCCATCTCATCAATCATGAAGATAATGATTACAAAAAATATGTTGGTTATTAATAATTGTCACATTCTAAGAGGTTACATGATACAATTCTGTTTTTGTTCTTTTTTGTACTTTTCAGAAATGGGTGAATCGAGAGATAACAAACTTTGACTACCTCATTCAAATAAACACAATGGCAGGACGAACCTATAATGACCTTGCACAGTACCCTGTAGTAAGTTTGTATAAATTTCTAAAATTAACTTATACTTTTATAGTGTACAATACTATATTTGATATTTATGCTTTTATTTAGAAAAATGGAGAGGCTTGGGTATAGCTCAGTGGTAGAATATTCTTGTACTATATGTAAAACTCTGGGTTCAATCTCCAGCATTATAAAAGAAACCCTCATGTATAGTACACCTACCCTGCCTTTATGTTTTTTACCTCCATATTACTTTTTCTTCTATGTGAGTGCTGGGAATTGAGTCCAGGTCCTCTGGAAGAGCACTCTGTGCTCTTAACTACTGAGCCATCTCTTCAGTCCAATCCATATTTTTAAAGTATCATAAACATGAAGACTAGTAATTAAAAACTAAAGTCCTATTTGTTTCATTCTATTAAAAACAGCCCAGAAGAATTGAACTGAAATAAACAAATATTAAAATATGTCTTTAAAGGATTCTTAATGGAAAAACTTTGTAGTGATTATCCGTTTTTATCTTTATGAACATTTTATATTTGATGTGGGAATGTTATGTTCTCTTGAAGGAAATCTCTAAAATTATGTCTCTTAGTTTCCCTGGATTTTGCAAGATTATACTTCAGAAGAGTTGGACCTTAATAACCCCACTGTGTTTCGAGATCTTTCTAAACCAATTGGAGTAGTTAATGAAAAAAATGTGAAAGCTATGCAAGAAAAGTAAGTGCTTTTTAAATCTTTTGAGATAGCCATTGTTTGAATTTGTGCTAATTTCAGTCAAAAAACTAAGCATTACCCTTTTTAAATTAAAAAGATTTCTTTTTATTATTTTTTTGAGTATGATTGGATTTTGCGGCATATATTGTGTACATCACACATCACACATGTGCCTACAGAAGTCAGAAGAAAGTGTTGGATCTGGAAATTGAGTTACGAGTCCCTGTGAGCTGCTCTGGGTGCTGGGAATTGACCCCATGTCTTCTAGTAGAGTAGCTAGTGCTCTTAATTGTTAAGCTATCTCATCCGCCCTAAGTGTTTGGGAAAAATAGTTGTTTTTAATGTGTGTGGTTTTTTCTGCATGTATGCATAGTACCTACAGAGGCTAGAAGAAAGGACATCAGAAATTCTAGAACTGGGGTCACAGAGGTTTATGAGCCACCACATGAGTACTGGGAACCAAACCCAGGTCCTCTGGAAAGGACATCATATGTTATCAACCACTGGACGATTTATCCATATCCATGTTACTTTTTATCAAAGCTACTTAAATTTTTTTTTAGTTATTCACAAGGAGGCAAAACACTCATACACTTAAATAAAATTATTTTAAATGTTCTAAAAGCTTGTTTTAGTGATACTTCATTGTTTAGGAAACATGCTTAGAAATTAATTTTTTCCTGTTGTTATATGTGGGGATTCAGATACTTAATTTGATAGTAAAGAATATGACTAAGGATTGACTTTTTAAAGAATACTATGCTTTAAGCAAACTAATATAGATTTAGACTCTTATACTTTTGTTATTAAGGTCGTAAAACTCCACCTTTTTTTTTTAAGGTATGAAACTTTTGAGGATCCAATGGGAACGATTGATAAGTTTCATTATGGTACTCACTATTCAAATTCTGCAGGTGTCATGCACTATCTTATCCGTGTAGAACCGTTTACTACCCTCCACATCCAGCTTCAGAGTGGAAGGTATGCTTAGAATAAAAACCCATTTTTTCTCTGACTATAAAGTTGAGAAGAACTATTCATCTTGATGTCATTTTCTGAATGATAGATTTATGCCTTTTAAATCCTCTACTAGGTTTTAATTTAGAGAAAATCAGCTAAAGTACTTTAAGAACAAGTCATTCCAATTGGTTCAGATATAAGACATTTGAAGATGACTTTTTTTCACTGTTATTGTAGTGTACATTTGGAATTTCTTCAAATTTGAGAAGTCAAGCAGAGATTTATAATTAGATATCAGACCAAAGTTGTTGTCCAGTAGCTGAGAATTTGTCTAACATGTACAGGTCCTGGGTTCAGTTCCAAGTAACAACTCCCTCTTGAAGATATTGCATTAGGGTGATTTAGAGCTAAATCTGAGCCATCCACAGATAGTTCTCAGCAGTGACTACACAATATTTGTGAAGACTAAATAGAGGAAGAAGTTGGGGATTCATAGCAGCCATTTAAACACATCTGTAATACTGCAATAACAACATTATCTGTGGGTATTGTAACTTTCCTATATTTCACATTTTCTTAGTTATTCTAAGGAAACTACATAAATCTTCTACTGTCAGTCTGTATTCTCCAGGTACCTTCCTTGTACGCGTTTTGTTCCTGTTTTGCCTTAGTTCTTAGCATTACCATTTTGTTTTCTCTTCTCAGTCAACATTATACAAATTCTGCCTATTTTATTATCATTGCAAATAACATCTATAGCTAGCCTAAATTCTCTACCACATCTTAATTACAATAAACTTTTATTTTCAACAAGAGACTCTGTCTTTAAGATTATTAAGCATCAGTAAAATGTTGTGCTGACAGGTAAAAATTCATAAGACACAGGAAATTATGATTAGGTTTATGTTGGTTCTTTATAATTTTATGAAGAAATGTGGTTTGACAGAGCTTTAAAATTTCTTCTGTTTGTGCTTTATAAAATACCACCAAGAAAGTACATACAAGAAAATTCAAGAAGGGACTTGTATTTAGAATGTGTAGAGAGCCCTTACAACCAAATACACTGAATTTAAAAATGGAAAAGGGTCTGAATAGCAATTTCTCTAAAGAAAATAGATAGGTGTCTAACAATACAAATTAGGGCAGTATCATTATCATAAAGATGATAAAAAGTTGTTTTCAGATATTAAAAAGGAAGATAAAGAACAGCTGTACTCACATGTAAATTTGAAGGGAGCTTAAAGGTTTTCCGTTTTATGCTTCCTTGTTTTCATTTAGTAGACTGTTGTCTTTCAATCTCACGTGCAGATTTGACTGTGCAGACCGGCAGTTCCATTCCATCCCTGCTACCTGGCAAGCTCTTATGGATAATACATATGATGTAAAAGAACTTATTCCTGAATTCTTCTATTTCCCCGAGTTTTTAGAAAATCAAAATGGTAAGAAATAAAGCGTTTAAAATTTTATTCTACAGGTCCCAGTGAAAAATCCTGAAAAAAATTTTGAGGGCATCTTCTGTAGTACTGTATGATTTATTTAAGTTTTGTTCTGTGTGTAAATTAGTGACAGGATTTAACTGACACCGGAGAAATGACATATAGAACCAAGTCTTACTTTTCAGGGACGTGATACAAGAAACTCAGGTATGAGTCAAATTTGAACTTCTGAGACAGCTTATCTCAGAGTACAATCTTTACTAGAGACATGGACTGCTTTACACTGCCATTGCAAGTCTTTGAGGTAAATAAGGACAAATCCATGAGTAAACTCATATTTTTAGAGTATCATTGCAACTTATTTATCAGTTTATTTATGCTTTTTCTGACTATAACTGCTTTCAGAAATTAATGACCAGCATAAGTAGTTTCAAGAAACCTAGTAATTCACAAAGATTTAAGTGTTCTTTTACCTTTTAAATACTTCTGCTGACTTCTTATTAGTAATATATAAAAGGTGCACATTTAAAATAATGGCTGTGTTGTTGTACTTTTTTATTACTAATTTTTATTGAGCTCTACATTTTTCTCTGCTCTCCTCCCCTCCACCATCTCCCAAGGTCCCCATGTTCCCAATTGACTCAGGAAATCTTTCTTTTTCTACTTCCTATGTAGATTACATCTATGTATGTCTCTCTTATGGTCCTCATTGGACTCTTAAGTTCTCTGGGATTGTGATTTCTGGCCTGGTTTTCTTTGCTTTATCTTAAAAAAAACACTTATGAGTGAGTACATGTAATAACTTTCTTTCTGTTTCTGGATTACCTCACTGAAAATGATGTTTTGTAGATCCATGCATTTGCCTGCAAATTTCAAGATAGCATTATTTTTTTCTGCTTTATAGTACTCCATTGTGTAAATGTACCACATTTTCCTTATTCATTCTTCAGTCAAGGGGCATTTCAGTTGTTTCCAGGTTCTGGCTATGACAAACAATGCTGCTGTGAACATAGTTCAGCACATGTCCTTGTGGCACGATTGAGCATCCTTTGGATATATACCCAAAAGTGGTATTACTGGGTCTTGGGGAAGGTTGTTTCCTAATTTTCTGAGAAATCGCCACACTGACATCCAAAGGGGTTGTACCAGCTTGCATTCCCACCAGCAATGCAGAAGAGTTCCCTTTTCCCCACAACCTCACCAGTGTAAGTTATCATCAGTGTTTTTGATCTTGGCCATTCTTACAGTCATAAGATGGAATCTCAGAGTTGTTTTGATTTGCATTTCTCTGATGACTAAGGATGTTGAGCATTTCCTTAAGTGTAATTCAGCCCTTTTAGATTCCTCTGTTGAGAGTTCTCTGTTTAGGTCTGTACTCCACTTTTTTATTGGATTATTTGTTCTTTGATGACCAATTTCTTGAGTTCTCTGTATATTTTGGAAATCAGACCTCTGTCTGATGTGGGGTTAGTGAAGATCTTTTCCCATTCTGTAGGCTGTCGTTTTGTCTTATTGACCATGTCCTTTGCTTTACAGAAGCTTTTCAGTTTCAGGAGGTCCCATTTATTAATTGTTTCTCTCTGTGTCTGTGCTAGTGAGGTTATATTTAGGAAGTGGTTTCCTGTGCCAATACGTTCCAGTGTACTTCCTACTTTATCTTCTATGAAGTTGGTTTTATGTTGAAGTCTTTGATTCATTTGGACTTGAGTTTTGTGCATGGTGATAGATATGGATCTGTTTTCATTCTTCTACATGTTGCTATCCAGTTATGCCAGCACCATTTGTTAAATATGCTTTCTTGTTTCCATTTGATATTTTTTGCTTCTTTGTCAAAAATCAGGTGTCAAAGGTATGTGGATTGATATCCAGGTCTTCTGTTTGGTTCCATTGGTCCTCCTGTCTGTTCTTATGCCAATCCCAGGCTGCTTTCAGTACTGTAGCTCTGTAGTAGTTTGAAGTCAGGGACTGTGATGTCTCCAGAAGTTTCTTTAATGTACAGGACTGTTTGAAGCTATCCTGGGTTTTTTGCTTTTCCGTATAAAGTTGAATACCATTCTTTCGAGGTCTGTGAAGAGTTTTGCTGGTAATTTGATGGACACTGCATTGAATCTGCAGATTGCTTTTGGTAAGATTGCTATTTTTACAATGTTAATTCTACCTATTCAAGAGCATGGGAGATCTTTCCACTGTCTGGTGTCTTCTTCATTTTTTTTCTTCAAAGATTTAAAGTTCTTGTCATACAAGTCTTCCACTTGTTTGGTTAGAGTTACTCTGAGATATTTTAAGCTATTTGTGGCTATTGTGAAGGGTGATGTTTCTCTGATTTTTTTCTCAGCCCATTTATCATCTGCATGTATCCCTCTACATTATTGAAAGTGTTTATGAGCTGTAGAAGTTCCTTGATAGAATTTTGGGGTCGCTTATGTAAACTATCATATCGTCAGCAAATAGTGGGAGTTTGACTTCTTTTTCTTTCCCCTTGATCTCCTTTTGGTGTCTTATTGCTCTAGCTAGGACCTCAAGAACTATATTGAATAGATATGGAGAGAGTGGACAACTCTCTGAAATCTCAAAATGGTGGATTACATTGACAAATTTTTGTGCTGAACCATCCCTGCATCTCTGGGATGAAGCCGACTGGATCATGGTGGATCATGGTTCTGAAGTGTTCTTGGATTTGATTTGCCAGTACTTTATTTAGTATTTTTGCATCAATGCTCATGAGTGAGATTGGTTTGTAATTCTCTTTTTTAATAATGTCTTTTTGTGGTTTGGGTATCAGGGTAATTATAGCCTCATAAAAATGTCTGGCAGTGTTCCTTCTGTTTCTATTGTATGGAATAATTTGAGGAGCATTGGTATTAGTTCTTTGAGACTCTTGTATAATTCTGAACTGAAACCATCTTGTCCTGAGCATTTTTTGGTTGGGAGACTTTTGATGACTGTTTCTATTTCTTCAGCTGTTATAATTGTGTTTAATTTGCTTATCTGGTCTTGATTTAATTTTGGTAAGTGATTTTATCCAGACAGAAAGTTGTTCATTTCCTTTAAATTTTCCAATTTTGTGGAGTACAGGTTTTCCAAATATGACCTGATGATTCTCTGTATTTCCTCCGTGTCTGTTTTTATGTCCCCCTTTTCATTTCTGAGTGTGTTAATTTGGATATTCTCTCTCTGCCTTTTGGTCAGTTTGTATAAATGTCCATTTTGTTGATTTTTGTGGAAGAACCAACTTTTTGTCTCATTGATTCTTTGTATTGTTTTCTTTGTTTCTATTTTGTTGATTTCAGCTCTCAATTTGATTATTTCCTGTCATCTAGTTCTCTTGGGTGAGTTTACTTCTAACATTTTCAAATGTTCTGTTAATTCACTAGTGTGGGATTTTTCCAGCTTTTCTATTTAGGCATTTAGTGCTATGAACTTTCGTCTTAATACTGCTTTCATTTTCATTCTCCTGAAGTTATATTTTAAGTCATTTCCTTTTGCTTCATATATATTTGGTTGTTCAAGTCTTGCTGTTGTGTCTTTAGGTTTTACTGGTGTCATGTTCTTCTTTGTGGTGTTGGTTGCGTGTGTTCTTTCCTTTGCTACTCTTTTTTTTTTTTTTTTTTTTTTTGGTCTAATAGGTGTGGTTGGGGCTGTCTGTGATTCTGTTGATTAGTCTTCTAGGTGCCAGTGAATCCAAGGCTCAGATGGTTGTTCCTTGTGGTACAGTCAGTGCCACAGTTCTGATTATCCCGTTGATCACTCCCTGTGTTCCTCAAGGTGGCTCAGCACTCCAGGGCTCTGCTCTGCTCCCTTGTAGTTTGCTGTCTCAGGCCTGTTCTAGCCTAGGTTGTTGGCTCAGACCTGTTTCTTTAAATGTCCCTGTTCTGGATCCATTCCTGCAGACATCCCTGGCTTGGGGTTAGTCCTGCAAAGGTCTCTGGCTCCGTTCTACTCCCTCAGAGGTCCCCAACTCAGTGTGCCCAGACCCATGGAGTATCTGGCTCAGGCTTATTCCCTCAGATGTCACAGGCTCAAGAGGTTTCTAGTCCTGCCTACTCCCTTTGACATCCCAGACCTACATGCAAACCTGTCTCGGGCCTAGTTCCTCAGAGGTCCTAGACTCATGCCTAGACCCACAGGTTCTCCGTAGGTCTTCTCCCTTGAAGTCCCACATTCAGGTCCAGACCCGCAGAGGTGTCTGTCTCTGGCACACTCCCTCAGCGTTTGCTCCCCTGTACCTATTCCTGTGGAGTTCGCTGCTATGGCCCAGATCGCTGTGCCAGTCCCTGCTCCCGCAAATGACCCTGCTCTCCTGGAGTTCACTGTAGGTCTCCTCTGGCCCGGGTCACTGGCTTAATCCTGCTCTTTTAGGAATTGCTCTCAGACCCACTCTGGTCTAGGTTGCTCTGTTGTTGCACTTTTTAAAAATTGGGCTTTTGGACTAGAAATGCATGATGATAATTAAATTTTTAAATATCCAAGAATTTTTTTTTCTGTAGTGTTATTTTACTTGATTACTACTCCTTTTTTTGTTTGTTGTTTTTTGTTTTTTGAGGGCATTTTGACCTTGCTCTGTAGACCAGGCTGGCCTCAAATTCACAGATATTCAAGTCCTGGGACTAAAGGCATGCACCACCACCATTTGGCTTTTATTACTTTTGTGTGTGTAAGGTACTGGAGATTGAACACAGAGTCTTGCAGTCTTGGTTGGCACACACTCCACAACCAAACTGCTTCCCTAACCTTACATTTGTTTTTAAAGCACATAAATTTGCATGATTTGGGGGTATGATTTATGTAGATTATCAGACTGGAATTTAATAAAACCATTGGGTATTTGGGATAAGAAGAGTAATTGGGGTGAATTTGGATGAAAAACTTCAGGTACTCTTTGCTCAACAATTCATTATATTTAGGACCCAATTGCTGCCCTCAGCTGTATGACCGTGTAGTACCTGTGTGTAACTGTAATTATATAATTGCTTGATAAGAACCTGAGCAGGAGAAAACAAATATATAATCTAATGATAATAAATAGCTAGGAATAACTAGCAATAAAACCAATACAAAATTGCACAATGAAATTTCAGTGTTTTCTGTAATAAAAGATTAGAGAAAATTTAATTTCAGGTTTATAGTATCATCTTTGTCAAAATTCTTCCTGTCTTTTCACTCTGTTATTCTGAATATTTTGCCTTTGTTCATGGCTAGTCCTTCTAATTGGAACAAATTACTGAAGTAGCTTAAGCATAGTAGGTAGAAACAACAGCGTCTTACAAAGATGGGGAACGTTGATCTGTTGTGTCCCTCTTAAGTATAACCCTTATGACGTCATTCTTTAGAACTGTGTCATATGCCACCCTGTAAAGTAATCACATGGAATAGGTATCACATGTAGGGCAGATGAAATGAAAGTTCTGCAAGTAAATTCAAAGGAAACTGACCGTGAAGTGGACAAAGGACTGTAGCTGCTGTGCGGTGGCCACTGACCAGAAAGCCTAGCACTCTGCGCTCCCTGTCACCCTTTTTCTGTCCTGTGTGTTTTTATTGGAGTTAGTCATGGGTAGGAACTGTCACCTTCAAGTTACGCCCCTCCCACCAAGCATGTCCATTTTAATCCTCTGGGGATGCTTTCGGGAACTTTTTCTTTTTCTTTGCACTCTTTGTGGCACTAGCAGCAGCTTCAGGTTCCTCAGAAGAAAATTTCCTTTTCTTGGGGATGCTGGGGCTTGCTGCCTCTTCTGGATCCCTGACCACTTCCTCCTTCAATGAGGATTTTTTCCTCTTGGGAAGACTTAAGCTGCTAGTAGCCATCTCTTGAGGGTCACTGGCCAACTCTTCCTTGGGAAAAGCTTTTTTTTCTTACCTTTAAATCTTATCTAGACTTGGGAAATGTAATATTTCAAGGCAGTACACTGTTATTTGAAGACTAGCATTTAAAACCGTTTTTTTTTAAAGGTCTTTTGTGTTAACATTTTCCTTCTCACAGTATGTGAACAAGAAAACCTCATACTTGAGAAGGTTCTGTCACATGTCATGGTCAGCTCTAATAGCAAGTATCTTTGTGGAGTAGAGGATATAAGGTGTTATTCTTCCATAAAACAAAACTCTCAGTGAGTGAGTTTAAGGTATAAGTTACACCAAAGTTTTAAAGAACCATTTTCCATTTTTAGTGTAAGAATTATTAATATTCTATTTTAAGCCAATTAAAGTGAGGATTGTAGTGCCTTTACTGTTCTTTTTCTTTTTCATTTGTGTGTGTGTGTCTGTTCCCATGCCCATGTACTTACATGTGGAGGAGTGTGTGTGTGTGTGTGTGTGTGTGTGTGTGTGTGTGTGTGCATGTGCATGCATTTATATGCAGAAGCCAGAAGTCAATGTCTTTAATCCCATTCCACCTTAACTTTTTGAGACAAACTGGGTGGACTTCCCAGTAAACCCATAGGATTCTGATCTCCACACCCAGCTCTGTAGTCATTATTATGAGATACTCACTGTATGTGCCTTATGTGAGAGATGGAAATCCAAATTTAGATATTTATGATTAAGTCACTGAAATTTACCCACTGTCTCCCAAGTTCTAAGAAAAAGAATTCTTACTTAGATGTACCTTCCAAAAATGAATTTTAAAATACTTTATGTAGTTTAATTGATGAATAAAGTATACTGCAATAGATAGGCTAAAGTATTTTTCTAGTTATAGACCCTCTTTTATATTTGTTTTACATCACTTGATTAAGTCTAAAATGATTCTGGTATTTTTATTTTTGTGTATTAGAATTTAATCTGGGTCACCTACAAGTTTCTCAAGAATTGGTAAATGATGTCATTCTTCCAAGATGGGCTAAGTCAGCTGAAGATTTTATTTATAAACACAGAAAAGCTCTGGTAAGATTTTTGTTGTCTCTCTACTAAGTCTAAAAATATAGATGTGTTTTTCAAAGATAAGTTAAAGTGTCCTTTTTTCTCTATTAATTTGTTATCTGCAATATATATTACTGTTCTAAAAATACAATATAGTAATTTAATCTTAGGATATAAATTTTGTGATACTATATGAATATGTACCAAAATATAGGTTTCTAACTTTTTCTGTTTTTAATAATAGCTTATAATGGTATATATACAAATCTACTTATAAATAACAATTATCAGTATCTAAGATTTTCAGTCTTAGATTTTTTTTCTTGAACTGACAAGTTTTAGACAAGTATTACAAAAGAAACAACCACAAAAATGCACTCTGTACCTCTTATTTAACTCTCTTAGATTTGGGGGAAAGTTAGTAGCTTTCTTGTGTTGTTTTGTTCACCCACTATACTTGGGGACATTTTGGAAATTTTGATTTTTGGATTAGCTGATAAATCCTCTGCAAATATTTTAAAATCTGAGAAAATCTGCAGTTCGAATTTGGCCTAGTCACAGTTTCGTAGGAGGCTGAAACCTGAGTCCATGACTTTGAGGACAGCCTGAACAACGTGGTATGAACTTGTCTCAAAGCAAAGCAAAGCAAACAGCAACAAGCAAAATCTCAAACACTTGTAACCCAAATCATTTTACCTAAGGGATATTCAGCTGTAATTAACATTCCAGTTCTCTCTGTGTGTGCTGTATGGATTGCTATTCTGTTTACCCAGCTGCAATAATTTAATATTTTGCCATTTCTGGTTTTTTTTTTTTCATTTCAGTTAAGCATTGTAGTGAGGAGCTGTGGGCCACTTCCCGCCACTCAGCTCCCAGCCACTGGCTAGCTTTACCCAAAATAATTACAGAGAAACTGTATTCTTTTAAACATTGCCTGGCCCATTAGTTCCAGCCTCTTATTGGCTAACTCTCACATCTTGATTAACCCATTTCTAATAATCTGTGTAGCATCACGAGGTGGTGGCTTACCAGGAAAGATCTTAACCTGTGTCTGTCTCGGAGAGGAGAATCATGGTGACTGCCTGACTTGGCTTCTTTCTCCAGCATTCTGTTCTGTCTTCTCCGCCTAACTAATTTTCTGTCCTATTAAAGGGCAAAGGCAGTTTCTTTATTAACCAATAGACAGATGACCCTCCTCCATCAAAGCATGTCTACATTTTTAATTTTTTTCTGAAAGATACCCAAGTTCCAATAAAACTAGCCTATCCAAAATACCACTTAAAAAGTCTTAAGCGTGTTTAGGTAAATTACCAAATTGGAACTGAAGGAATACTGTGAGTTAGTTTACTATTGATAATTGTTACTGTCTCACAGCACTGTTTACTGAGCAGTACTCCTCTTTAAAAAAAATAAGTGTTCAAGTGTTTTGCTTACATGTATGTCTATACATTGTGTGTGTGCAGTGCCCAACAAGGACAAAAAAGGAATCAGATATCCCGGACCTGGCGCCACAGATGTCTGTCAGTCATTGTGGATTGTTAGTCGTCCTGTGGGTGGTGGGACTTGAACATGCTTTCTCTTGAAGAGCAGCCAGTGTTCTTAACTACTGAGCCTTCTTTCAGTTTCTCCCCCCCCCCCCCAAGACAAGGTTTCTCTGTGTATCCCTAGTTGTCCTGGAACTCGTACACTAGGCTGATCTTGAATATCTGCCTGCCTATGCCTCCTAAGTGCTGAGATTAAAGGCATACACCACCATCTCCCTGCTACTCCATGCCCTTTCTAAAAAGCATGAATTTAGGTTACAGTTGGAAGATACCTATGTTAATTATTAAATTTGTTCTCTCTCTAGGAGTCTGAGTATGTTTCTGCTCATCTTCATGAATGGATAGACCTGATTTTTGGCTACAAACAAAGAGGACCAGCTGCAGTGGAAGCACTCAATGTCTTCTATTACTGTAGTTATGAAGGTGTGAGCCTAACTACTTCTTCTTTTGTAGTACTTTGGGAGATTTAGGGTTTATTAGTTATGCATGGTATTTGGGCCTAGATACTTAACATAAAAAAGAGTACATCAACAAAATAGCTTCTTAGTTGCAAGGTTATGAAACTGCCACTGTTTCAGTTTTGTAATAGTAGTTTATGATTATATATGTGTATATATATTCCATGCATATAAAATCTAATTATATATACATATATTATATATGTGTGTGTTCCATACATATATATGGAAATCTAATTATAGATGCCTATTATCACCATATCTTTTGGTCTCTTATTTGAGAAATCAAATTTCCTATTTAATCAAGTCTTACATTGAATATTGCAGGTTATATTTCTAGTAAACTTTGAAAAAAAGTGCTTAGCATTTCCAGTATATAAATTCTTCTAATAGCATTAGCTTACTATCAAAACTGTCTTCTGACAGCTTTGGGTAGAAAATATTCTCACTTACACAAGGAGGTTGAAGGTATATTTAAGGTGGTCTCCCACACTGGTTCTTCCCCTTATTTAAACAGGGCCTCTCACATGTATCCACATACATATGTGCATATACACACAAATGCATACACACAAATAAAAGTAGGTAATGTAACTAGAAAATTACTTTCTGGTGAGAAGTTGAAGACTGATATTATGTTTAAAATATGTTCATCAATCCTTAATATATTTATCAGAATCATGCTAGTTTGCTTTTCTCCATAGTAATTACTTCTTGCTTTAGGTGCTGTAGATCTTGATGCCTTAACAGATGAAAAGGAAAGAAAAGCCTTAGAAGGGATGATTAACAATTTTGGACAAACACCTTGTCAGCTGTTAAAGGTAAGCTGTGTAAGCTGTCAACAGCTTAGGGCAGTTGTTATCAATGTCTTGGTTAAGGTTTACTATTGCTGTGAGGAGACACCATGACCACAGCAATTCTTATAAAGAAAACGTTTAATTAAGGGGCTGGCTTGAGGTTCAGTCCATTGTGGTGGTGAGCATGCCAGCATGCGGGCAGATGTGGTACTGAACCTGAGAGTCCTACATCTTCACTTATAGGAAATCTACTGACAGTCACACTGAGAGAAACTTAAGAAAATAAGGCCTCAAAGCCTGCCCCAACAGTGGTACTCTTCCAACAGAGGTGTGGCCCAGATTGAGTGCCCTTCACCCCCCAGGTCTGAATTAAAGGTGTGTGCCATCCAGCCTCTTCCAACAAGACCATACTTCCTAATAGTGTCACTCTATTAGCATATCAACCTTCCTAATGCTGTGACCCTTTAATATAGTTCCTCATGTTATGGTGACCCCAACTATAAAATTATTTTCATTGCTACTTCGTAACTCTAATTTTGCTGTTATAAATTGTAATATAGGTATTTTTGGAGATAGAGCTTTAGTAAAGGATTCACAACCCACAGGTTGAGAACTGCTAGCTTAGAATGATGTCTCATGTATTCTGAGGTTTGAAGAATGGTAGAGTCCTTGAGTAATTGTAGTTGAGAGGATTTGGTTTATGGGATTGCATTTATCCTGTATTAAGTTGTAATGTACTCATGTAATTGAGACTCCTGATGATAATTGATAATTATCATGAATGATAATTGAATCTCCAAGGAATAGTACTGCTGTTGTTTTAAAAGATTTTAGTAATTTAAAACTTAGAGAACTGGGCTGGAGAGATGACTCAGTGGTTAAAGCACTGACTGCTCTTACAGAGGTCCTGAGTTCAACTCCTAGCAACCTCTTAGTGGTTCACAGCCATCTGTAATGGGATCTAATACCCTCTTGTGGCATGCAAGCAAACATGCAGACAGAGCACTTATACATTTAAAAAAATAAAATTAAATAAAATACCTTAGAGAGTCATTGTCCACAATTAAGAAAAAATATTAATAAACTATCACTTAAAACTAAGTAAATTTGATTGTTCCTGTTTAAGTAAGAAAAAAAACTGAAGAAGGATCTAGTTATAAAGCCAGATGTCTTGGCACATACTTGTACTTCCAGATACTCAAGAGGCAGGGTGGGAAATTATGAATTCTAGGGTAGTTTAGGTAACATCTTAAAAAGTTCACTAATGCTAAATGTTTTCCTGTACTTGTACAGTGCCCTGGATATGATTCCCAGCATTAAGGGGAATGGGAATCTCCATTTATATAATCAGTTGTTCATAAGTCACAGAAGAATTAAATTTTAACCCCCCCCCATGTGTGTTATGTATAGAAACATGTAAGTATGGGACCAGAGGTCAAATATCTAGTGTTCTTTGCAGGAGATGTCCACTTTGTTTTTTGAGACAGAATCTGTCAGTGGACCTGGAGTTCGCTAGTGAGTACAACGGATATTTCTGTCTTTCCCTCCCCAGTACTGGATTACAAGTATACCCTTTCCTGCTCAGTTATTTTCATAGATGCTGAGGTCAAGTTCAGGTCCTCATACTTGGACAATAAGTAGTTTACTAACTGAGCTATCTCCCCAGTCTTGTGTTTCTGAATATCATATACAGTATATCATTAAAACTGTTCATATGTTGACATTCCTTCTATATGTAAGATTTTAAGCTATTGAAATCATTCCATAAATAGTACTTATCACCTAGAGCCTAAACCCAATGTTAAGATTCATAAAATATGTATAATACATTATCAAATTATTAAACACTGCTATGTTTTCTTATACTGGTATGTGAATATAAATTGTTATCTTCCTAACTGCCACTAATTAATAAAAATCAGTCCAATATTTCAGAAGCTGTCATCGTTGTTAGCATGAATTAAGAACAAAGAATAAATAATAAACTGGATGGTGGTGGTAAACATCTTTAATCCCAGTACTCAGGAGGCAGAGTCAGGCAGATCTCTGGGATCTCTGTGAGTTCAAGACCAGCCTGGTCTGAGTTCCAGGACAGCCAGGGCTATTACACAGAAAAACTGTCTCAAAAGAAATTAATTAAATTTTTAAAATATCCCATTTATTAAGTACTTTCTTGCTTAGACACTGTGCATTATTTTCTGTAATTTGTAACAGTAATGATACAATCTTCATTTTTTAAATTCGTAAATCAAGACCAGGATGATGGTTCAGAGGGTAAAAGTACTTGCTCTGCAAGTCTGATGACCTGATGCTTTGACCTTGCATGGCTTTAAGGATTGACTTAACTGGGGCAAGAGGGTAATGAACAAATGACAGACACACATTCAGAAAAGGTGGGATGCAGAGGAACCAGCTTTCTGCAGGTCAGAGAAACTGGGAGCGAGATGCAGAATCAGTGAGAAAATCACACAAGCTTCTTCTTTCTGAGGGATTTAAGTTTCTGTTTTATTATTCTTTCTGTCCTTCTTCCACTCTAGTCTTCTGTTCTTCTGCCCTGATGTTTCCCTTCTTTATCTTTTCAGTTGTTTCCCTTTCTACATTGTTTTTTTTTTCCTGATTTTATCCTTTTACTTCTTATTCTGATATTTGCCTTATATCTTTGTTTTCCCTTTCCTTACAGTAAACTATGCATGGTAGCATATGCCTGTAATCCCAGCACTCAGGAGAATCTTGAGTTCAGGATCACTATGTAGAGAGTTTGAAGCCATTGGGGATGCAGAGTGAAATCTTGTCTCATACATTAAATGAAAAAGAAAAGGCAAAGTTACAGAACAAGCTGGGCCTAATGGTAAAATCCTGTAATTCTCCCCATTCAGGAGATTCATGAGTTCAGTGCTTGCTTAAGTTATAAAGTGAGTTTAAGGCCACCCTGACCAAGTTAAGTGAGGCCCTGTCTCAAAGAGAAAAGTTTAAAAAGGGTGGAGGGAATATAGTGCAGTGGTAGATTCAGAATCAAACAGAACTCTAGGTGGAGCTCTGATTGCATCAGCTCTACCTTTTGTTGTATTTTTCTAGACATGGTTTCTCTGTGTAGCCCTGGCTGTCATGGAGCTGAGTCTGTAGACTAGCCTGACCTCAAACTCACTGAGATCTGCCTGCCTCTGCCTCCTGAGTTCTGGCATTAAAGATATGTGCTACCACCACCAGACTTCAACTCTACTTTTTAAATTATTATTATAAGAACAGTACTGATATACTGGTTGGCAGGGCAGTTATCCTGCCCTATTTGTTCATGTTTGTGGAGGTCAGAGTGTGGAAATGCTGATCTTTTACTGGCCTAGAATTTATCAAGTAGGCTAGCTGGCTAACCACCTTGGCTGGCCTTTTTTAAAACAGGATTCTGTAAATTGAACTCAGGTCCTCATGTTTGTTTCTAGGCAAGTACTTTAGTAAGCCACCTCCCTCATACTAGTTTTTATTGTGATTTAAAAATATTATAAAAGGGGCTGAGGTTGTATTTTAGTCCAGGAATGTTGGCTTATTATGCGCAGTGTCCAAGATCAGCCCCATCCCCACAAACACAGAAGAGAAAACCAGGCAGTTAGGACTCTCAGCCTGTAATTTAAAATAAAGTTGTTTTTACCTAAGTATTAAAAGGTACACATTTACATGACATCTATTTCCTACTATCTAAAATTTTGTAATAGAATCAAAAGAATCAAACTCGAGCTCCCTGATTTGTTCTTTTTTCTTTCTGAGATGAAGTGTTACTATGTAGCCTGTACTGCCTTGACACTTTAGCTGACCTCAAACTCAAATTCCTCCTGCCTCAGTTTTCTAAGCACTTGGATGGTCAGAATTGGTGATTATCTGGTAGAATTCTCACCTGTAAGAATTCTCACCTCTAACATATACCTGCTTGCAGATATTTTTGCCATAAATATCTGCAAAAATCCCATTTAGAAGGACAACTCTAATACATATCAATTGTGCCCCAGAATAGTAAAAAGGTATTTAATAACTTATCAGTATGTTTTACTAACATTAATTTACTTAATTCTGTATCTGCAACTTGAAAGGTAGGAAAAAATAATCTGTAAATTATGCAGTCATGTATATAATTTGATTTTGATAGTTTTTACATTTTGATCAGTCTTTTAGGAATTATATACTACATCTTAAAGTTTGAATGTTAAGTGCTTCATTAATTTTACCAAAAATTTATTAAACATCCGTCAAGTTTGAGATACACCTGCTGCCAAGGCTGATGACATGAGCTCAGTCCCCATGTCAACATGGTAGAAGAAAGAGAATTGACTCCTGCATGTTGTTCTTTGACCTCCACACATGCACAATGACATGTATATAACCACATATACACAAAAAATAAGTTAAATGGAATTTAGAAAGATTCCTATAGGCTGAATGGGAAAGACTGATCATAAACAACCAATGAATACTTAATAAAAAAAAGAAACAAGAAATCTTAAATAAATGATGAAAGAGCATGTGAAAAAAATCATTCTGATCTAGAAATGCAAGAGTGATATCAGTAAGAAAAATTTAAAGTAGAAATGAGATGTCTGTAGAAGAGGATGGATGGCAAATTTGCTGGGGTATAGGCTAAGCCATGGCCTGGAGTTAACAGTGCCTAATATGCATTCTATTATAGCACAGTCCACTGAGTTGAGCAGGTTTTCATGTAACTCTGTCATTTTTCCTTAAAATTATTTTGAAGGAACCCCACCCTCCAAGATTATCAGCAGAAGAAGCCATACAAAAGCAAACCAAAACAGAAATCTCAACCCTCAACCTCTTTCAGCATCTCACTGAATTGAAGTCATTTTTTATAGAGGTAATACCCAGCTTGGTAATATCAGAGACCTTTCTCCAGTTCTCTGTTTGTGCATGTGTGTGTAGATATGCTCATCTATGCCTATAGGTGTATCACTTGTGTGGGGTGCTTCTCTGTACCTGTAATTGTACTACTCATTTGTGAAAAACCCTCCGCCGTTTATTTATTTATTTATTTATTTACATCCCAACTGCAGTTTCCCCTCCTCTCCTCCCAGTCCATCCCCCAAACTCCCTCTGCCCCCCTCTTCTACCCCCATCCTCTTCTTGTCCATTTCTATTCAGAAAAGGGCAGGCCTCCCATGGGTATCAACAAAGCATGGTATATCAAGTTGCAGTAAGTACCTCCCCTTTTATTAAGGCTGAGCAAGGCATTCCAGTATGAACTGTAGGGTCCCAAAAGCTAGCAAGAGTTGATGACTTCCCCCACTCCCACTGTTAGGAGTCCCATTAGAAAACCAAGCTACAAAACTGTCACCTATATACAGAAGGCCAAGGTCAGTCCCATGCAAGCTCCATGGTTGTCAGTTCAGACGCTGTGAGCCCCTATCAGCCCAGGTTAGTTGATTCTGTGTGTTTTCTTGTGATGTCCTTGACCCCTTTGGCTTTTACAATCATTCCTCTGTCCAGCAGGATTCCCTGAGCTCGGCCCCATGTTTGGCTGTGGGTGTGTGCATCTGTTTGCATCAGTTTCCTGATGAAGCCTCTCTGATTGCCATTGGGGTACTCACCAGTCTATGAGTATAGCAGAATATCATTAGGAATTATTTCATTGACACTTGTTTTTTTCTCCAGTCATGTTTGGTTCTATCCTAAGTCCCTGGGTCATCCAGCCTCTGGGTCCTGGCATTCCAGACAATGCATGTCAAGGCGGGCTCACTCTTGTGACATAGGTCTCAGACGGAGAGTCTTCGGTTGGCCAATCCCACAATCTCTGTGTCATCCTTATCCCAGTACATCCCATAGGCAGGGCAGACTGTAGGTTGAAGGTTATGGGTTGATGTCTTGCCTGGTCACAGATCGTGGCCAGTTCAGGCTACTATTACTTGTAGTCTTAGCTAGAGTCATCTTTGTAGATTCCTGGGAGTTTCTCTTGCACCAGGTTTCTTTCTACCCTACCCCCAAAATGCCACCCAATTTCAGTCTCTCCCACTACTCTTTTTGCCCACACCTCATCCCACCTGTTTCCTCCCTTTCTCATGCCTACTGGACCCCATTCCACCCTTGAAATCTATTCTATTTCCTTTCCAAGGGAGACCAATGCATACCGTCTAGAGCACTCCTTGTTATCTAGCCCCTCTGGGTGTGGGGATTATAGTCTGGTTATCCTTTACTTTGCAGCTAATATTCAAGTTTAAAGTAAATGCATACCATGTTTGTCTTTCTGGGTCTGAGTTACCTCACTCAGGATGATTATTTCTAGTTCCATCTGTTTCCTGCAAATTTCATGATGTCATTGTTTTTTACTGCTGATTAATATCCATTGTGTAAATGTACCACATTTTCTTTATCCATTCTGTCAGTTAAGGGGCATCTAGGTTATTTCCAGATTCTGCCTATTACAAATAAAGCTACTGTGAACACAGTTGAGCAAATATCTTTGTGGTGTGATTGAGCATCATTTGGGTATATGCCCAAGATTGGTAAAGCTGGGTCTTGGAGTAGATCAATTCCTAATTTTCTGAGAAACCACCATATTGATTTCCAAAGTTTGCCCCTACCATCAATGGTTGGAGTGTTCACTTTGTTCCACATCCTCTCCAGCATGAACTGTTACTTGTGTTTTTTGATCTTAGCCATTCTGACAGGTGGAAGTTGTTGTCTCAGAGTTGCATTTCCTTGATAGCTATGGATGTTAAACAGTTTCTCGGCCATTGAGAACTCCGTTTATATCTGGACTCATTTTTAAATTGTATCATTTGTTTGGTTTTTTTTTGTTGTTGTTGTTGCTCTTTGTTTTTTTTTTTTTAATGCCTAGTTTCTTGAGTTCTTCAGATATTTTGGAAATCTGCTCTCTGTCGGATGTAGGCTGTATACCCCAGAGGAGTATAGCTGGATCTAGAGGTAGATCGAGTCCCATCTTCCTGAGAAACTCTACATTGATTTTCATAGTGACTGTACAAGTCTGAACTCCACCAGCAATGGAGGAATATTCCCCTTGCTCCTTATCCTCCCCAGCATAAACTGGCACTTGAATCATTGATCTTAGTCATTCTGACATGTATAGGATGAAATCTCAAAGTCATTTTGATTTGCATTTCCCTGATGTCTAATGACCATGTTGGATTGGTCTTTTCAGCATCTAAGGAGATGATCATGTGCTTTTTGTCTTTCAAGTTGTTTATTTGGTAGATTACATTTATCAATTTATTATTACTGAGAGAACTTTCTTTTCAATTCCAGTCTACTTAATGTTCTGGATGTTTCTTGTATCTTGATAGATGTCTTCTTCTTTAGGTTAGGGAGATTTTAGTCCATGATTTTGTTGGAAATATTTTCTGTGCCTTTGACTGCATTCCATTTTCATCTTCTATTCCTATATTCTTAGGCTTGGTCTTTTAGTGTCCCAGATTTCATGAATGTTTTGTGTCGGGATTTTTTTTTTAAGATTTAACATTTTTTTCTTTGACTGTAATATCCATTTTTTCTTCGTGTCTTTAGTGCCTGAAATTCTCTCTTTCATCTTTCATATTCTGTTGGTGAGGCTTGCTTCTGAGGTTCCTATTTGAGTACCTAAATTTTTCATTTTTAAAGTTCCATGAGTATGAGTTTTCTTTATTAATTCTATTTTTATTTTCTTGTTGTTGGGCCTCATGAGGCTTGGGCATGAGGCCCAGTGTAACTTCCTAAGCCTAACTTGAGTTTGGTGAGGCTTAGTGTAACTTCCTGAGCCTAGCTCAAGTTTGGAGACCTGTTTGGGTACTCAACCTAGGCCCGTCTCTGCTCAGCCACCGCTAACATGGCAGAACATTATTGACCCTTGTTCCTTGCTTTGCCTCGACCCATCCAGGCTTCCCACCCCCTGTCTCAGCCTATATAAGTTCCTGCCTAATGCAATTAAACAAGATTGTGCTTTGACAGACTTTTTTGACAGACCCAACTCAGTGTGTATGTGTGTGTGTGTGTGTTTCTTCCCAGTGGCTAGCAGGGAGGACCGTTTTTGAGGGATTTGTTCCTTTTCTCTTTAAGGATCTTCATTATATAAAGGAAAATTTTTTTTTCTTGTGCTTCAACTGTTTTGCAATATTCAGAGTTTGGTGTGATACAGTTGCTGGTCTCTAGTCAAGATATTATCCTGTTATTTTGTTTTTTTACAGGTATCTGGGTTTTGGAAGATGGTAATTCTAGATGCTGATACCTGGTGTTGTCTTTGTTGGGTGGATGGATGGATAGTTTGTCCTTGGTTTCTGTTTCCTTCTCTGGTTCTTGTGGCGACTCTGTGTTGCCTGGTGGGGAATTCCTCTGGGATCCTAATAGATGCAGTCACTGGGGGGTTCTAGATAAAATGTGTTTCTAGGTATTGGGAGCTGACACTTAGGAATGGAAATGGCCTGACAGGGGCACTGAGGGAGTCCACAGGAGGGAGGAAAGCAAGGCGTTCCAGCCAGGACCTGCTTTATCCCCCAGCAATGGGAGCAGAGAATTTCTAGGTATTGGGAACTGACACTTAGGTGTGGGGATAGAGTACAGAGGAGCTATAGCAAGGTGTTCCACCAGGATCTGTTTAGCCCTCTGGGAATTAGGGCAGAGGGAGGAATTGGAGGAATGGAGGTGAGAGTAGCCTTCTTGTTCCCAGGGAATGATTACTAGGGTTGGAGGCTGGGATACAGCAGTGAGGGGGGGGGGAGTTAGGAGGGGAAGATCTGTGTGATCCACTGGAGATGGGGGAAGAGTGTGGAGGCAGGATGCAGCAGGCAGTCTACAGAGCTGGGGGTGACGTAGGGTCTGAGGGAGAGCTCGAGGTCTACAGTTAGCCTTCTTGCTTCTCTGGCTGGGGTCACAAATGACTCTTGGTTCACAATTTGACGAGAAAGGCAGTTTTTATGAATTTTATAACATTGGATTTTATAACATTATTAGTTCTTATAGACCTCTTAGAATAATATTTGTGGGGGCTAGAGAGGTGGCTCAGCAGTTAAGAGCATTGCCTGCTCTTCCAAAGGTCCTGAGTTCAATTCCAAGCAAGCACATGGTGGCCCACAACCATCTGTAATGAGGTCTGGTGCCTTCTTCTGGCCTGCAGGCATACACACAAACAGAACATTGTATACATAATAAATAAATATTTTTTTAAAAAAAGGTTCAGGAATTCAAGGTCATCCTGGGCTACACGGGACCTTATCTAAAAAAAAAAAATCAGAGTAGGATAATATTTGTTACATGGCTTATATATTCAATAAGTGTTATCTGTCATTTTTTAACAATAAACACATCAGAAAAATAATTCAAATTATTGTTATTTTGTATTGGGATAAGATGATGGCAATTGTTTCCTCAGAATGATATTCATTTTCAGGTCATAATGTATGATTTTCATAAAATAGGACTTTCAGAAAGAACCTCAGTTAACAAAATATATTAATGTTTTTGATGTAAAGCCAAAATATTTTTCTATAAATTATAAACAACTTTCTCATTTAATTTATTACATCTGCATTATGTTTGTTTCAGTATAGCAGAGACAAGGAAAGATCCTAAATTGCTGTTCTAAATGATTTCTGCTCCTTGGCATCTACATCCACTTACCAACAGAGTACTGGCATAGACAGTTCAGGTGTGCTAGCTATTCAAACGTGGCATGTAATTATTTTCTCACATTTTATATTAAATTATTACATGATCAGGTAGAGTAAAATGAAGTATTATAGGTATTATCCCTGTTTAAAAAATTAGAAATTTTTAATTTGTACCTAATCAGTGAACAGAACCAGCCATTAAATATCTTTTATTTTACAGGGAATTAGTGATGGTATTCCTCTATTAAAGGCCATCATCCCCCAAAATCAATCTCGTTCTTTTATGTCTCAAGGCAGCCCTGAGTTACTGGTAAGTTTATGTATACCTATTTCATACTACTATCTTTACCAAAAATAGGAATAAATGTAAAAATATTTCTGTTACATCTCTAATATGTGAAGGTATACACATGCATCTGGAGGTCAGAAACAGCTTGGGCAAGTTGATTCTCTCCTTCAGTGTGAGAAGAACTAAGCGTGGGTCCTCAGGATTGGTGGCAGGACCTTATGATTCTAAGCTATATCACTGACCCAATAAAAAACTTGAAAAAAAATTTAGTATATTTTAGTGTATAGATATTTTGCTTGTTTGATATATACTGCATGCTTGCCTGGTTCCTGCAGAAGTCAGAAGAGGGCATAGATTTTCTGGAACTGGAGTTCTAGATAGTTCTGAGCCACCAGATGGGGGCCAGAATTCAAACCTGAGTCCTCTGGAAAACAGCCAGTGCTTTTTTTCTTCTGAGCCATCTTTTCATCCCCTAAAAGAATATTTTTAAAATAATCAAGAAAACTAGAAGAATAGCTTTATGGTAGAGCACCTGCCTAGCACGTATGAGGCCGTAGGTTTGATCCTCGGCATTATAAAAAATAATGAGAAGTTTGTTATGAAATTGTAATTTCATAACATTTGATTAATTCGAATAATTTGATTAAGTATAAAAATGTCTTCTTTATATTTTGCTTTAAATAGTTATTATAATTATTACATTTATCTAGAAAAATAAATCTGTGAAAATAGCTAGGAACCTTATCACCATAGCTATAATAGCAATAATCAGAACTAATACAGATCTTGTTAAGGTATTCTTCTAGGGCATTTCAGTGAGTGTTTTACCCAATTTTTTATTTAGCCTACCCAACAGCTTTGTGTAGTAGGCACTAGTATGTTCCTTTTATGGGTAAGAAATTAAATCTCAGAAGTTCCGTGCCTGAAATCACAGAGCTAGCAAGTAGAGATCTGAGACCTTGGCATATGAACTAATCCTAGGTTCGTCTTATTCTAATTCTGTGAGTTGGGTGAGGTAGAAATGTGCTGTAGCACAGTTAACAGGAGAGACCTCAGAATTAAATTGCTTTTTATAATGGTATATATTGTGCTTGATTAGAAAACTATTCTAGAAATATATATAATAATATTGATAGTAGTTTTCAGTGGTAAGACTCTGTAATTTTCATCTTTAAAATCTATGTGTTTTTATGGGGTGGGTGTCAGATTTGAGGCAGGGTATCTCTGTGTAGCCATGGCTGTCCTGGAACTTGCTCTGTAGACCAGCCTGGCCTTGAACTCAGAGAGATCTGCCTAGAGAGATCTGCCTGCCTCTGCCTCCCAACTGCTGTTAAAACCAATTTTTTTTTAAGTTACCTGAGTCAGGGCATGGGTATTGTGTTGTTTTATAATTGAAAGAGTAAAAATCTTTACACTTTTAAAAGCAAGTACATACTAAGACTATTGCTTCAGGGACATTGTAACTATAAACTCTCCTGATTTGGGCTAAGTGATGATTATATCATGTTTGTCATGGCAAAGTTAACCTTTAATTTATTCTGAATGTTAACATTAATGCTAATAACCTGAGATTTAATTGAAAAATAATTAGCTAAAAAGTAACTATTCTTACAGTAAACTGTAAATAGATATTTCCACTTAAATTATTTAGGATTTGGCTTCATGTATCTTACAGTATTCGCCTAATGATAATGTAAAAAATCTGTGAGCATCTGGCTATTTTTAGCCACATTTTTTTAATATATTTTACTTGGGTTTTCATATATTCTTTTTCAGATAACAGTAAGCGTTAATTATGTTATTGGAACCCATGGATGGCTGCCTTATGACAGAAATATTTCTAACTACTTCACATTCATCAAGGATCAAACTGTGACTAACCCAAAGTAAGTAGACGACAAATGGGTTTTTGTTGTTTTATGGTTGGATTATTTATTTATTTATTTATTTATTTATTTATTTTCTTTTGTTTTGTTCCCCCCCCCCCCAGACCAGTTTTCTCTGTGTAGCCTTAGCTGTCTTACTCTGTAGACCAGGCTGACCTTGAACTCACAGAGACCCACCTGCATCTGCTGGGATTAAAGTGTGCACCACCACTGCCCAGTGATTCCTGTAATTTTTAAAGTAATGCTTTGAGAAAATGATTTTCTCTTCTTTTTCACTTTTCTTCCCCTTCTCTGTTTTTAAGTTATAACCTGACAGTATTTGGCATTCAGACATGGCTGAATTTCTGTCATAACAAATACAGAATAAAATATTATATTGGGAATGGTAAATTGTCATTCTTTCTTTACTACTTAAAAATAATCTTCATTTGGGTTTTTTATTGAGCTCTACATTTTTCTCTGTTCCCCTCCCTGCCTCTCCCCTCCCCTTCAGCCCTCTCCCAAGGTCCCAATGCTTTCAATTTACTGAGGAGATCTTGTCTTTTTCTACTTCCCATGTACATTAGATCTATGTAAGTCTCTCTTAGGGTCCTCATTGTTGTCTAGGTTCTCTGAGATTGTGATTTGTAGGCTGGTTTTCTTTATGTCTAAAAGCCTCTTAAGAGTGAGTACATATGATATTTGTCTTTCTGGGTCTGGGTTACCTCACTCAAAATGATGTTTTATAAGTTCCATCCATTTGTCTGCAAATTTCAAGATGTCATTTTTTTCTGCTGTGTAATACTCCATTGTATAAATATACCACATTTTCCTTATCCATTCTTTAGTTGAGGGGCATTTAGGCTATTTCCAGGTTCTGGCTATGACAAACAATGCTCTTGTGAACATAGTTTAGCACATGTCCTTGTGACACGGTTGAGCATCCTTTGGATGTATACCCAGAAGTGGTATTACTGGGTCTTGCGGAGGTTGTTTCCTAATTTTCTGAGAAATCACCATCCTGATATCCCAAGGGACTGTACCAGCTTGCACTCCCACCAGCAATGCAGGAGTGTTCCCTTTACCCCATAACCTCTCCAGCATAAGTTGTCCTCAGTTTAAGATGGAATCTCAGTGTTGTTTTGATTTGCATTTCTCTGATGACTAAGGATGTTGAACATTTCCTAAGTGTCTTTCAGCCATTTTAGATTTCCTCTGTTGAGAGTTCTCTGTTTAGGTCTGAAATCCACTTTTTTATTGGATTATTTGTTCTTTTGAGGACCAATTTCTTGAGTTCTTTGCATATTTTGGAGATCAGAGCTCTGTCTTTTGTGGGCTTAGTGAAGATCTTTTCCCATTTTATAGGCTGTCATTTTGTCTTGTTGACTGTGTCCTTTGCTTTACAGAAGCTTTTCAGTTTCAGAAGGTTCCATTTATTAATTGTTTCTCTCAGTGTCTGTGCTGCTGGAGTTATATTTAGGAAGTGGTCTCCTGTGCCAATGTGTTCAAGTGTACTTCCCACTTTCTCTTCTATGAGGGTCAATGTGGTTGGCTTTATGTTGCGGTCTTTGATCCATTTGGACTTTAGTTTTGTGCATGGTGATAGATATGGTTCTATTTTCATTCTTCTACATGTCGATATCCAGTTATACGAGCACCATTTATTAAATATCCTTTCTTTTTTCCATTTGATATTTTTTGCTTCTTTGTCAAAAGTCAGGTGTTCGTAGGTGTGTGGATTAATATCCGGATCTTTGATTCGGTTCTGTTGGTCCTCCTGTCTGTTGTTATGCCAATACCAGGCTGTTTTCAGTACCATAGCTCTGTAGTCGTTTGAAATCAGGGATTGTGGTGTCTCCAGAAGTTCCTTTATTGTACAGGATTGTTTTGGCTATCCTAAGTTTTTTGCTTCTCCATATAAAGTTGTTTACCATTTTTTCGAGGTCTTTCAAGAATTTTGCTTGGGATTTTGATCGGCATTGCTTTATTTGGGTTTTTAATTGTTGTTGCTTTCAGACAGGGTCTCATTATGTAACTCTAACTGGCCTGGAACTCTCTGTAGAGACTAGACTGGCCTCAAACTAACAGCAACCTTTATGCCTCTCGAGTGCTAGGATTAAACAGTGCACTATCCTCCTGTCTGAGAAATATTTTATTGTTGGTAATATTCAAAGTTTAAGGAAAAGTCTGAAATCCAATTATGTTTACAGAGCTCAGCGAACTGTGAATGGTCCTTTTGCTCCAGGGCTGGAAATCACTTCCAAGCTGTTTGCAGTGTCGCATGATGCGAAGCTGCTCTTCAGTGCTGGACACTGGGATAACAGTATCCAAGTAACATCACTTACCAAAGGCAAGATAGTCTCACATAACATCCGACATATAGGTAAGAATTAACTTTTCCACAAAACTTGTTCTTCTGGGGTTTTTTAGTTTTAATTATTCAAGTTTTCTTTAGTGTGTATTGAGTGTTTTGCCTGCATGTAAGTCTATGTGAGGTGTCAGATCCCCTGGAACTAGAGTTACAGATAGTTGTGAGCTGCCATATAGGTGCTGGGAGTTGTACCTGGGTCCTCTGGAAGAGCAGTCAGTGCTCCAACCCCTGTTTTTTTTCAACTGTATAAAAGTGGTACATGCTCCTGATAGCTTATTATATTGGGGGTACATTCAAACATCATATAAATTAAGTATATTTTCATATTACACTAGAAGGTATTAAATCAAGTTTTATTTAGATGTTAAACAATGATTTTGTTGCCACATAATAAAAATTTGTCATCATTACATAAAGACATTATTAACAGTAAAGTATGAGTTAATTGTTGAATATATATTAACATCTTATTATTTCAGGTGTTGTCATAAGAATAAAAGCTTTTTTTCTCAAAAAAAAAAACTTGTTAAATGAGGGTAATGGAATCTGTTGCTCTCTACTGGTGATTTTTCTTTTAATTTTGTTAAATAACATTTTTTCTTTTATCTTACATTCCGACCACAGTTTTCCCTCCCTCTTCTCCTCCTAACCTCCCATCCCCCCTTCACACACACACACATGCCCTTTGTCTCCATTCAGAAAGGGGCAGGCCTCTCATGAGCTTGAACAAAGCATGGCACGTCAAGTTGAGGCAGGACCCAGCTCCTTCCCTTGTCTCAAGGTTGAGTGAAGCAGTACAACACGGGGGTGGGTGCTCACAGCTACCACACACGTACAGAGGGTCTCGATCCGTTCCATACAGGTTCCCTAACTGTTGGTCCAGAGTCCATGGGCTCCCACGAGCTCAGCTCAGCTGTCTCTGTGAGTCTTTACCCCCTTACGTCATGAGCCCCCCCCCCCAGCTCCTAAAATTCCTCCTCCCTTTCTTCATCAAGACTCCAGAGCTCAGGCTAGTACTGATTGTGGATCTCTGCATCTGTTATCAGTTACTAGATAGAACTGTTACTAGTTACTAGTAATAGTTACTAGCCATCAATCTGATTTTATCTACTGGTATTCTAAGGTATTACTTTGTGTAGCTGTTAAGGGACTATTCTGGAAAATTTTAATTTATGAATTTGCACCATAATATGTACTATCTTTTTATTTGTTTGTGTGTCCGCTGTATAGTGTATGAGTGTTTTGTCTTCATGTTATTCTGTATACCATGTGTGTGTGGTGCCTACTGAGTCTGAAGAGGTCAACAGATCCCCTGGGACTGAAGGTACAGATAGGGCTAGGAATCAAACTTAAATTCTCTGGAAGATAATCCCATAAATTATTAACTGCTGAGCCATCTGTCAATTCCCTGTACTGTTTTTTAAGGATACATTCCATACGATAGCACTTTTTCAATAGGAAGAGAATGTGAATAGGGTGAGAGAGCAGAACACATAGCAGAATTACCTATGACTCTGTTCTCAGTTCTCTGACAGCCCACAATGCTTGATACAATGTCAGCACTTAGCACATGGACGGTCTCAGTGAAGGCTCTCGGGATGACTTTCTCTGACCTGATGTCTTTTGTTACATTGAATTATTTTTGGAGGGGTATTTTGTGGGGAGGGTGGGGATAGCACATACATGACTGCCTGCAGGAGCCAGAACTCTCCTCCTGTGTGTATCCAAAGGGACTAAGTGCAGATCACCAGTCTTGGCAGAAGGTTCCTTTTCTTGCTGAGCCATTTTGCCATCCCTGGCTTAGTAATTATTTGAACATTAACTGAAACTGCCCTCAAAGTTCTGTTCTGTCAAAACATATCCATTTTATTTTATTTTTTCTTCAAACAGATATTGTGACTTGCTTAGCTACAGATTACTGTGGAATACACTTGATTTCTGGTTCCAAGGACACTACATGTATGATATGGCAGATAACACAGCAGGTAATAATAAATAACACGCGTTATGTTCTTCGACTTTCTCTGGTAGTAAATGACACTTTGAGCTCAGTGAGAGATTGTCTTAAAAATTGAGGAAGAGAAGTGATTGAAGATCATGGGTGTCATCAGCCCCTGGTTTCCATACATGCATGCATGGGCAAATGCAGCCCTGTCACACATGTATACTACACACTTTCTCATACAAAACCCTCTTTAAAATTCTGTGGTAGTCTTACTGAAAATTGTTCTTAACTGGACGTGATGTGGATGATTACAGACTCGGGGCCTGAGCTTTTTATTGTTCATTTTTGAGATTATAACTTAATTATACCATTTCTTCCTTCCTTTTCCTCCATCCAAACTTTCCCATATACCCTTTCCCACTCTCCTTCAAATTTCTTGACCTCTTTTTTCATTAATCGTCATTACATCTGTATGTGTACTTATACATACATATATTCCTAAATACAACTTTTTGAGTCCATATGACATTACTTGTATGCATTTTTTAAGAATTATCTGTTTGACACCGGACAACCAGTTGGTTGTGCTATTCCTGGGAAGGACCTCTCTCAGTTTTACTCAGTGACCTGTTATTCTTTGTGTAGGGTTGAGACTCCATGTTTTTCCCATCCAGTTTGGCGTGTTCATTGTTGTCACTCTATGTTCAGCCTACTTTTGGGCAGTTGTACTGATGAAACTTAATGGGTGTAGCTTCTGGTGCTACTAGGAGACACAGTCCCACAGCAAACTGTCTGATTCTGTTGCTTTTGTACTCTTTCTACCTCATCTTTTGCAATGATCACTGAGCCTTATGTGCGGGAGTTGTTTTATAGATGTTTGTGGTTTTTCTGTCACAAACAAAAATCTCCCTGATGAGGGGTGAAGACTTACTTGTGAGTATAAGGACAAATTTTATAGATTGTTGTTAGGGATTCTGCTGGTTTAGTAAGTTAGGGATTGTAGATTCTCCTCCAGTAACCATGATAAGGCCTGAACTTTATGATGACCCCAAAGCTAGTCTGGTTTACATAGCAATACTCTAAAATATGACACAAAGAAAATCCTGTCTCAAAAAAATTAAAGGAAAACATAAAGAAATTTTATTTCTGTGTATTGACATTATTACAATTATTTTTATACAAAAATACAAAATACCTTTAATTACTTGTCTCATACCCTTTTAATTTCTTTGGATAATCCCTTAATCACTTTATTTCCATTTGTGTTCTATACTATGCTATATTTACTTCTGAATGGCACAATTTTACTACTATTTTGGTACTTTTAGAAAAATGTTCATTTCTTACTTATTTTCACTACTATGAAGGAAAGTTGTGCAGTAACATGATCGATTGTTGTATGGTTATCCTTTTTTTGTTTTTTTGAGACAGGATTTCTCTGTATAATCCTGGCTGTCCTGGGACTCCCTCTGTAGACCAGACCGGCCTCTAACTCACAGAGATCCACCTGCCTCTGCCTCCTAAGTACTGGGATTAAAAGCGTGCACTACCACCATCAGTGATGTATGTTTATCTTATTTTCACTAACTTTACCACATTTTTAAATTTATAATTATAACATTCTTGGATTTTCTGACCCTAAAGTATCTATACCATCATGTGATCTAGAAATAATGGTCACTCTCCCAATTTTCCAATATATTGTTTTATTTTATTGTCCTGTTACATTGCAATAGAGTTAGAGCATGATAGTGAGCATCCTGACTTATGTCTGATTTTGATTGAAAATGACAGTACAGTTTTGCCGCTTGATAGTGTTTGCTGTCAGTTTTTATCAGTATTGTGTTTTATATTTAGTTATTTTCTATCTTGGTAACTTTTTAATTTTAATGAAATTTCAAACTTATAGAAAAGTTGCAAAAACAATACATTCGTACCTTTGTCTTAACATTCTCAATATCTTTCCCCTTTCAGCATGTTTATTTTTCTCTCTGATTTAAATGTTGGCAGTACTTCCTATTCCATTGATATCATCTATGTATGTCTTCCAAGAACAAAGATTTTCTTTTTAAATTTTTATTATGGTTATTTATTTACGTGTATGGGGGTAATGCATACATGCCATGGTGCATATGTGAAGGTCAGAATACAACTTTTGTGGATCAGTTCTCTTCTTCCACCATGGGTGGTTCTGGGGGCCAAACTTTGGATATCATGCTTGCTAGCAAGTACCTTTACATACAGGTCCATCTTGATAAAAAGTCATTCTTACCACCATAGTGCAGTTGCTAAAATGAGAATGTTTAACATTTGAGTTTCCTTTTCTTTTTTCTAAATGAGTAAATCAAGAAATTTCTTAGATTTGAATTGCTTTGAATCATATAGCAAATTAACATTACTCATTTTCATTGCTACCACATTTTGCTGTTGTATTTTACTTGCTAATACTATAATTTTTTCTCTTTTTTTAAAAATAAGGCCTCACTTTTTTCTGTATTCTTAAGTAAAAGATCAATTTTTGTTTTGTCATTATGATGTTTAATATTTGGATATGCAACCTTTATTGGATTAATTTAATAAGTGTTTCTTCTTTCACTTGAATGGTAAAGTTTTCTGTTACTTTAATTACTTGATACAAGAATGATGTGTTTTGTAAATATTAAGTGAAATATATAGGATAAATTACATGTATCCCAAAGAGTAGAGTTTACAGGTATATTTATGTGTAATATAAAAACAGAGGGTCTAGACAGACTTATCTAGAATACATAAGAATAAAACAATATGACACACAACTGATATTTCTTCGAATATAAAGTAAATGTAAACAAGGCAGGTTTAATGACAAGGGCATTATAGAGAAATTTTCTTGAGCAGTTTCAGCCTGTGTGGAAGCTGAGGCAGATGCATCACAAAGTTAAGGCTTGCCTGGCTACAAAGTGATAGTTTAAAGTCATGACACTCGGGTTTCAAAAATTATTTTTTAAAACACTGGGAACATGTCTCAGTGGTAGAACATCTGCATAGCATGCATGAAGTCCTAATAAGTGTTTAAAGCATCATTGGTGATGGTGCACAATTGGATTTCTAGGAAGAGGATTGTTGGTACTTATTGCCAGCCAGGTTATGCAAAAAACAGCTCCAGATTCATTGCTTTCCATGTCTCAAGGGAGTAAGGCCAAGAACAACAGAGCAGGATACTGTGTATAGATAGTTAAGAAAAAGAATGATCGGTATAGAAATTTAAGACAGGAGCTAGAGATACGGCTCTGAGATTAACGCTGCTGCTTTTCCAGAGGACCCAGTTTTGATTCCCAGCACGCATATCAGACTGCTCACAACTGCCTGTGACTCTAGCTCTGGGGGATCTAATGCCATCTCTAACCTCCACATACATTCACACAGACACATACATATGAATTAAAGGCAATCAGAATAAATATAATTGATGTCCCTAAAGTACAGGCTCCAGGACCATGGTTCTCAACCTACCTAATTCTAAAACCCTTTAATACAGTTCCTCTTGTTGTGATCACCAACTCTAAAATTATTGCTACTTCATAACTAACTTTGCTACAGTTGTGAATTGTAATGTAAATATCTGATATGCGACCCCCCCAGAGGAGTTGCAACCCGCAGATTGAGAACTACTGCTCTAGTAAGTATTCATTTATATAATGTTAGTTTAAATTAAGGAAGAATTCATTTGTAGGTTAAAAGAGCAAATAACTTGGGAAAACTAATATAAGAAGTCAGCATTAATACTTTCTGTGTAAGGTTTGGACTGAGTATTACTGTGAGTGACTCAGTGGTTCTACCTGTCTTACTACTTTGTTAAGAGGATGTTTGAATATAGTATAAACTTTGTTACAAAACACAAAAACAAGAGGCTTGTGAGTGGAGGGAAAAAACAACAAGACACCATTTCACATTTGCTTTTCTTTTTTAATTTTAGGGAGGCGCTGCTGTGGGCTTAGCATCTAAACCTTTTCAGATTCTTTATGGACACACTGATGAGATACTGAGTGTGGGCATCAGCACTGAACTTGACATGGCAGTGTCAGGGTCAAGGGTAAGATCTCACCTTTAAGAAATAACACTTTTTCTATAAATTGTGTAACAGTGTTTATATTTGAAAAGTTTTTATGGAAATAGAATATTTTTAATATGTATTTTGAGCATTGTTAACGTAGAGTAATACAGAGAGAATAAACTTAAAAGAGGCTATGTTGTATTTGGGGATCTTATTGGCCTTACTAGTTCAGGAAGATGACACTCTATAAGATGATATGCTACTTAAGATTCTAAGATTAGGGTTTCACCTAAAGCATATAACTCATCTATGGGGTAATTATTTCCTCGGTGTCTTTCCCACATCTCTTTATTCAGCCACTTTGCCTTCTCCTTTTTGTTGTTTTGTGTTTTTCATTCTCTGGAATCTTCTGTGTGTAGGATGGTACTGTGATTATACATACCATTCAGAAAGGTCAATACATGAGGACTTTACGGCCACCTTGTGAGAGTTCCCTGTTCCTGACCATTCCCAGTTTGGCTGTCTCTTGGGAAGGACACATTGTCATCTATTCCAGCTTGGTGGAGAAGCCCGCTCTCAAGGTATTTGCTTCTGTGCAGCAGGGTGTAGACCATCACTAATGTTTTCTCCCCTCACTGCAAGGGCAGCTTTTCTATGGTTCAGTTGTTCTTTCTCATTGTTAAATAGACTTCTACCACATTATTGTCCTGATGTTTATATTTTACTTCAGATATTTCTTTTGGCCTAATATTATACAAGGTTTTGAATGTAATTCCTTTTTTTTTTAAGATTTACTTATTATATATTCAGTGTTCTGTCTTCATGTCTGTCTGTCTACATGCCAGAAGAGGGTACGAGATCTCATTATAGATGGTTGTGAACCACCATGTGGTTGTTGGAAATTGAACTCAGGACCTCTGGAAGAGCCGTCAGTGCTCTTAACCTCTGAGCCATCTCTCCAGCCCCCTCAAACGTAATTTCTTTTAGCTAAGGATGTAACTTGGTTGGTAGACTGCTTGTCTTGCAAGCATTGGAACCCTAGATTAACTAACTACCTAACCCCACATACACAAAAAGCAATTTAAAAAAAAAAAAGACAGAGTTTCTTTGTATCGCACTGGCTGTCCTGAAACTCACTCTCTAGACCAGGAAGAGATCCCCCTGCCTCTGCTTCCTGAGTGCTGGGATTAAAGGTGTGCGCCACCAGTGCAAGCGGTTGTATTAGGTATATCATGAACTTCAAGTAGCAGTGATAGCCAACATTTCTTTTGCAGGTAAGACGGTGTAGAAATAAACTGGATCTCCATATATTTATTTCCTTCTAATAGTAAAGCTTTTAAATATAAGGAACATCTTTTTTAGGAATGTGAACTATTTTTGAACTGGAATATTTTAACTCTTTGATTTAACTCATACTTGTTTCCATGGCAATAATGATTTAAAGTCAATCTGATAATTTTCTGTGTACTTTTTCTTTGCATACAGTCATGTTTTTATTCCAGAAATCTTTCTGATTTGTTATATTTTAATTGACAATATGAAAACTCAACTTTTATGCAAGTTCCCTAAACTTTCCTGTTTCTTTATAGGATAAGAACATGTTACATGTGTTTTCTGTAAATGGAAAGCATCTGGGGTCTCAAGTCCTAAATGAGCAAATATCAGACATGTGCATAATTGGGGAGCACATAATCACTGGCAGCATACAAGGGCTCCTGTCTATAAGAGAACTTCACAGGTAAGTGAATTAAATTAAAATGTTCAAACTGTCTGAAGAAGAGGTAGCAACTTACAGTTCAGAGGTTCAGTAGGGAGCATGGTGGTATGCAGGCAGATGTGCTGGAAAAGTAGCTGAGAGTCCTACATCTTGTAGGCAACAGGGATTCAACTGAGATACTGGGTGGTCCCTGAGCATAGGAAACCTCAAAGCCCACCCCCACAGTGACACACACTCCTCCAATAAGGTCATACCCACTTCAACAACGCCACACCTCCTAATAATGCCACGCCCTTATGGGAGTCAGTTACATTGAAATTACCACAGTGACCTTGTCTCATAAAAGATAGAAGGTGAGAACAGACACCTGAGGTTGTCCTCTGAGCTTCATATGTGTACCAGCCTTGCACACATTTGCATCAAGTGTTCTGAGCATGCTGGAATATACTTACAATATCAGCATTGGGACTCAGTCCCTTTTCCAATGATAGCTTTGCTTTTTTTCTCTCTCTATCTCATCCTGATTTTAAGAGTCTTCTAACAAGAAGATTTGCAAATTAGAAAAACCAGTGGACTTCTTTAGTTTTAATTACACACACACACACACACACACACACACACACACACACACATAAATATACCTAAGTCATTGGGTTCTCCACTTTCTAATCTTTAAATAACCGAAGGCATTTATTGTAATGGAATATCAGACAAAGCAAAAAAGACCTGTTTTATTAACCTCAAATATCACACACATGTACTTTCTTTGGGACTTTTTATTCACCTTTTACTTACAGATAAAAGCATTTAATGAAAGAACTTAAATTCTTGGTATTGTGGTGTTTATAATAATTGACCTTGAAGGGTTTAAGGCTCTTTAGATGTTGCCAGTTAAGGTAGCACGTTCAGGAGGACTGTGAGTTCAAAGTCATCCTAGCCTGCATAGCAAGCCCCTACCTCAGACAACAACAAAAAGAGAAGTTGTGTTTGCAGAAGAGTTTAAGAATTTCTAGGATCTGAATAATCAGAAGAGTATTGTTTAAGAATTATTAGGATTTGAAATGGAGATGAACTTAGGGAAATTATGAGAAAATGAACTACAGTTGGGGATGTGGTACATCTGTAAAGTTGAAGTGCAGAGGTAGATGACGAAGTTGCCTTCCTGTATAACCTGTGCATCCATCCTCTGTGCATGTAACGATATCTGTTTTTATCTCTTTTAGTTTGAATCTCAGCATCACTCCATTAGCCATGCGATTACCTATCTACTGTGTTTCCGTAACCAAAGAATGCAGCCACATTCTTGTAGGCTTAGAAGATGGCAAATTGATTGTAGTAGGTGTTGGCAAGCCAGCCGAGGTAAAATTCAGCATCTGGCTTCTCCCTTACTATTGTGGGTTCCTTACTATTGTGGGTTTCTTCGGTCCTTCATTCTAGCTGATTCAGAAATCTCCATTATGAATAAACAGAAACATAAATTTGATGTTTCAGAAAGAGCCAAAGTATAAAGTTGTTAAGTGGTAGTGTTTATCCTATGATAAAATTAAAAGCATGCTCATGGATTGGTCTTTGTATCACTGTGTGAATGAGAAAAATATTTTATTCCAAATCAAGACTCAAGAGGACTATGCAGATTGGAGACATAAAAGTTCTTATAAAAATAAAATATAGGTTCCAACAGTAAAACTAATTTGATTTCATAAATACAAAGCATGAGTTATTTATTACATAAAGGCATTGTTTTTTAATTTGGAACTACAAATATCTTATATCCATATCCTTATTCACAGTGAGTTTACTGTAACAAAAAATTTACTTGCAATAGTCTTTCATGGATCTGACATTTGTTCCTCAGAAAACGTAATGACTCCACACCAGGAAACTTAATGATTCCCCCAGAAAACTTATTATATAGAATTAAACTAGTCATTGCATTTTTTGTGACACTCTTAGCTTTTCCTGAGAAATGTAATATTGTATATACAGGTGTTTCTTCAAGAGAAGATATTAAGTTGAGTGGTAGTACATACCTATAATCCCAGTGCTTGGGAGACAGAGGCAGGAGAATCACCACAATTTAGGGGCCAGCCTAGTGTTCATAGTAAATTCTAGGCAAACTAGGGCTATGTACCAAGATCTGCTGTCAAAACAACCACAGAAAAAGGCTAGAGAGATGTCACAGCAGGCCAGAACTTTTGTTACTCTGCAGCTGGGGCTCAGTTCCAAGCACTCACACAGCAGAACCTCACAACCGTCTGTCATTCCAGGTCTAAGAAGACTCACACCCCTTCTTACCTTCACAGGCACCAGGCACATGTAGGCCAAATGCTCATTTGCATAAAATAAATAAATATAAAAAGAGAGTTAAAAACATTTTAAACATGTTTCCATTTAACATTGAGGTTCTTGATAGTTTCCTGAATTGCACCCATCTTTCCCCTGCTCGTGTGATGATTAAGTAGAACTCTGAGTACACACCTGTAATCCTTGCTAGTTGGGAGGCTAAGGTAAAAGAATCATAAGCAAAGATCTGCCTGCCTACTGGGTGAGTTCGGGGTCAGACCAAGCAACTACTAGTGAGACTTTGTCTAAAAAAGGGATATAGCTCCATGCTCTAGAGTGTTTGCCTAACCAGAGGAGGCCTTGAGTTCAGTCTCTTGTACTGCAGTTATTAATCAAGAATCTTTTAAAATGTTAGCAATTTTAATAACAAAACCTGTTCTGCACTTTACAAATTCAGTGTCACACATATTGATTTTATGTATCTTCATTTTTCTTAACATCTATTCATTTCTCTGGATTACCTTAAACAGATGCGTTCGGGTCAGCTTTCTCGAAAATTGTGGGGATCTAGCAAGCGACTCAGCCAGATTTCAGCTGGAGAAACTGAATATAATACTCAAGATTTCAAATGATTGTTATTCCCACCTCCTGTGATGGAAAACCAAACTCCAGTTATTGCTTTGTCACTTTAGCTGCGCCCTACGCTGGAAGTCTTCAAGGATTTTATCTTTAAAAACGTTTAAAGATTACGACAGTTTGATATTTGTGAAGATGTAGGTTGAGTTGTAGAGGCTAAGGCAGGTGGATCTTAAGTTCAAGGTCAGCCTGGGCTACATAGCAAGACCTTGCCACAAAAATTAAGTAAATAAATAAAGAATAAAAATAAAGGTGTAGGTTCTATTAAATCAGTTTTAAAAGTTTCATCAGCAATGAGTCTAGTTTTGTTAACCAGTACTAAAGTTGAATTGAGAAAATATATTTGATTCAATTTGGTAATCCATTCCTAAATAATTAAATCCAATTTTTAAGAAACAAACATCTAATAGTATATACTTAGATTGAATTCCCTTAATCTTAGTAGCAAAATTTAAGACATTTCTGATAAAGTAGCATAGATTAGATGATGGAGAGTTGAGAGAAGTGGCTTTTCATGTATTCTTCAGATAATCATTTTTCTTTTGACTCACCATTTCATTAAAAGCATAACCTTTTAAGCATTTGTTGTACAATTGAATTTTCAAAAATTGCAGGTCTGTATAATTGGATTAAATACAAATATTGAAATAAACATTGGTTTATTTCCCTACCTTTAATATATTAGTAATAAAAATTTACTAAATTGTATTATTATCCTTAAGTAACAAAAGTTGAATAGGAAAAAGAAAAACTAGAGATAATCTTGACGAATGTACTTCATTAGCAGTATATTCAAACAAAAATGCTGACTGTGGCCCTGGCTAGCTGGTGAGTAACATTTGCAGCACAATTTACATGTGTGAAGTTCAAAATTTTGTGAATTTGTCTTTATTAAGCAAAAACTGTACTCTCTTTGTGGTTAATCCTTTCTGTCCTGATGATCATGAGTTGTCAGTGATGTTCTAAGAGGTCATGAAAGACGGAGTAACGCTGCATAGTTCAGAGTAGCCATTTAGATAAAGCAAAATCTTTTATTGCATGTTATACACAACTGTTTGGATGATAGCTATTTTGTTACAGTTTGTTAAATATTACATTATGTCTAATTTTTTAAGTAAAAATGTTGATTGATTTAATTTGGAATTCAAAGTAATTGTTATTTATTTTTTGTAAAATTGACTTTTGAGTTATTAGGTTAGAGAAGTTTTACAAGTATTGGCAATCTGAGATTACACAAGCTTTGGGAAGATTGGTGAATCTCTGAAGTTGTACGGAAATTTATATATTGAGCCTATTTTCAGGAAAGAATTATTGCATGATTTTCTTAAAATGATTTATGGGCAACAACAGATGATTTTACAATGGTAGCCTTTCAAAATTATATTCTCTTTTATTCTGCTGACCATACATTTCCTTATACCTCATTGTCTTTTCAGTTGAATCCTGAAGAAATTTTGATTTTTCATTTTCCCTCTCCTATTGACCACAGTATCCTATGGTCTTTTCTTTATAATCCCATAAATAAGCTTTTTAAAATATAGGTGTAAAAGACTATGTTTAGGAAAATTTTACAATATTCTGACTTGTTGTTGGTCAGGATTAGTAAAACACTGTAAAATCACTGTTAATAAGTTAAAATTGTCTGATTCGGGAAAAAATAGCTTCAAATGGCACTGATATCAACTGGTAGAAAAGTAGAATTTGTGTAAATGTGATGATTTCCTTTTTGAAAGACTTCAGGAATTTGTTGGAAGTGTCAGGAGTCAATAGAGATGATTATGGTACATGAAACATTTCTTTTTTTCATTTCTGCTCCCCCAGTTTCCACATACTGGACCATCTATTCATAAAAATTATAAGGGAGTTCATGTCAGAACCAACATGATTGAGTGATTTTTTTTCTTATTGTTGGGCTTATTTTTTATTTATATATTTTATTTTTGTTTTTTTGTTTTGTTTCGTTTTCTTCAAGACAGGGTTTCTCTGTTTAGTTTTGACTGTCCTGGAACTCACTCTGTAGATCAGATTGGCCTTAAACTCAAAAAGACCCACCTGCCTCTGCTGCCTCCCAAATACTGGGATTAAAGGTGTGTGCCACCACTGCCAAGCAATGATTGGTTATCAGTCCGTAGTAGAATGCTTGCATATATTGTTCAAGATCCTGGGTTTACTCCCTAGCATGTATGAAAGAGACAGAAGAAACAAAGACAGGTACTAACTGACTCCAAATCAAGACTTGGTAAGGGTTTCTTTTGGCAGTTTATCCACGCATGCTGCTCTTTCATGGCTCATAAACAAGAAGCTATGCTCAGTTTTATATAGGTCTGGCCCGTGTACAATCAATGTTAGATGTTAAAGGAGAATTATTCCTTTTAATTATTTTGAGGTTTAGAAAATGCTAGCTCTATTCTTGAATAATGAACTTTTTGTTTTGTTGTCGTTGTTTGTTTGTATTTCAAGACAGGGTTTCTCTGTATCACCCTGAAACTCACTCTGTAGACCAGGCTGTATTCGAACTCAGAGATCTGCCTGATTCTTCCTCTTGATTAAAGGTGTGACTACCACCACCCAGCCAAGAATGAACTTTTGTATTAATTAAAATAGCAAATTTAGTGGAGCTGTTACCTGAGTTAATATATTCCTCACGTAAACATTAGAGCCATGAAATTAAAAGTCACTAGATAATATCACTAGGAAGATGCACTTTTACAGTGGAGTGTAGCTGTTATCCATAGAAACTTTCATAATGTATATTGGAAGAAATTATTAGAATGGATTGATAGCTGGATATTTTAGTTCATGAGTATAAAATCTCATCTTGGCTGCTGTTGGTGTCAGTTCATCTTTTCAGGACTTTTCATCTGCTTTTGTTTCTTGATAGTAATAATGATGAATGTTAAAATCTCAGGTAATGAGAGATTTATGCTAAGATAATGTTCTTTCTTTTGGAAAGTGAGGTCAGAAGTTGTTTTGCTGTTGTTGGTGGTGGCAGTGTGTGCACATTTATACAATTTGCTGTATGTACTTAGAGAATCAAACACTGTAATATATAACTCCCCCCCAGTCCGTATTCTGTTATTGTAAAATTGAAGAAAAAGAACAAGTCAGAACATGAAAGTCAAGGAACTGCAAAAATAAAGATTAGCATTAACTTTCTAGCCAGTGTTGCCTGTGAAAGAAGTTTCTGTAATTCCCCGTAGTCACAGTACATCCTTGTGTGTGAGGAGAAGTTTCTCTTTTTCCTTGTGATACACATGGCACTGTTCTTCACAGCGCTGACACTGGAGTGCTGCATAGTACTAAAGAGTAAGTGTGCCCACAAAATTAGAATTTAGACTTGAGGATTGACTCGTAGTCTTAGCGTCATTATATTTCTGTTCAAATATCCTAAGAAAGTGAAACTGAGTGCCAGTTTTTGCTTAGTGTTGATAGAGGCGTGGCATTTACCTGTAAATATGACATTATTTTTACTAAAGATATCTCTAAGGAAAGCTTTAATTGAATTTTGAGCTGTCAATTCTTTTTAAAATATGTTTATAAAGTAAGTAGCGTCATCTTTGCTTCCTTTTCAATAAAAACATGAGACTTTTACTGTATTGGATATGAACAGGGTTTTAAATGTGTAATGCCTATATCTGGGGTGTGTGTCTGAAGGTGTTCTCACATTGCTAAACCTATTTTCTTAACCCTGTCTTTACACTTTTTGAGTGATATGTACATTTTTCATCTATGTTGAATTAGGAGCGGCAGCAGGGCTGCGTCCCCGGCACCCGGCCGCCCGCATGGCTAGCTTATGCCCCGAAATTACACGGAAACTGTATTCTTTCAAACACTGCCTGGCCCGGCTAGTTCCAGCTTCTTATTGCTAGCTCTTACATATTGTTCTAACCCATTTCTAATATTCTGTGTAGCCCACGAGCTGGCTTACCAGGGAGGATCTTAACCTGCGTCTGTCTGGAGCGGGAGAATCATGGCGACTCCTTGACTAAGCTTCTTTTTCCCAGAGTTCTCTTCTGTTTACTCCACCTACCTAATTTTCTGTCCTATGAGGGCCGAGGCAGTTTATTATTAACCAATGAAAGCAACAGATAAGATACAAGACCCACCTCCATCACATCTAGACCCAAACCCTGATGAAAGTGTTCTGTCTCTAACAGAAACTTCTTTTCCCACTGGCAGCAAATACTCTTTCTTAGTACTTTTTCCTAATTTGTATGCATGTCATGTACGTAGCATTTTGTTTGTTTTAGATGATCTCATATAAACATTGTTCTGAAAATTTTCCTCGAAGTGCCTTTTCTGATGACATTAGGCAACAATACAATGCTATCAGGCTTTAATATTACTTATTACTTACATAATTTAAATACAGCATTTTCTGTGCCACTGATTATTCCCAGCACCAGGCAGTGTCTTTGTTTCATATGGACAGAACCACACTATTTCCTTTTCAGTATTGAAAAGTTCATTAATTTTATCATGAGCTCTTAGACTTTCATATTTAAAATCACAATTTACATTTACCTCCAATAATATTGTCTGCTTGCTGTTAATATTTCCTAACTCAATATTTTCCACACCAGTATTTCGACAAAAAGTGTAAATTTTTTTTCCAGTATTCGGGAGTGAACTCAGGGCCTCACGCATGTTAGGCAAGAATAAAAAGCATTAGTAATGAGTGCTAAAAGAAAAACAGAATCAGATGTCTTATAGCATTGAAGTTATAATGAGTAGAATTCTCCCACTATGAAAGCATTGAGTAAATCCTCCTAAATACTTTTGGTGATGTTTGCAGGTGTGCCTCCGTATGAAATATTCTTTAATTTTTTCATAGGTTTTAGAAGTTAGAACTAATAGAGCATAAACATCTGAGAGATTTAGGCTAGGGATATATCTTAGTGATGGAACACTTTCATATGAAGTCCTGGGTTTGGCATGGGATTCTTTACTCCAACACTGAACAGTGTAGAGCCTCACACATAAAGTTCTACCACTGAACTCAGCACCTCAGCAGATCAGACCTACCTGTAGGATTCATCAGTAGGCTATACCTCAGTAATACGTGGGACTTTCACGGGTTCAATCAATCCCAGCTCTCAAAAATTATAAATATATGTATGTACATATAATGTATATAAATGAATTTGTGCCTAAATTGTAGATACATTTTTATCTTTTGAAAATCATGTGACCATCATAGAATATAGGATTTATATCTCTGCTTTTTGGTTATATGAAAATTATGTGGTTTTATTTATTATAAAAACCTTATATAAAAATAGCCACATTATTAACTTAAGGGTTTTTTTGGCAATAGTTATTCATTAGACACATTTTTTTAGACTAGTACCTTTACTGAAACAACACAGAAGTGGTTTTTAAACACATTGCAAGATTTGGACACATGAAGATAATTCTTTTAGTGTCAAAAAGACACAAATTCAGAAGCATATATCTTTCCCTAATGCACAGAGCAAGTTGAAAGTCACCGATTCGATATTCTTTTGTCTATGAAACAGTTTTCTTGTTAACCTTGAAAATACATATCTTGCATAAATTAACATAAGAATAGCCAAATTTCATCATTTGAAAAATTAGGCAAAGTGGTACATACACATGGTTCCAGTTACTTGGACGAGATGGAAGGATCACCTGAGCTGGGAAGTTCAAGATCAGCCTGGACAATGTAGAAAGCCTTCATTTTAAAAGAAAGTCAATAATTTAATTAATGTTACAAAGGTGACTGTTAAAGAAGTGCTGCTGCTGCTATTTCCTTTTGTAGTGAGTGTTTTAGTAATTTATACTTATTCATAATTATAATAGTTACAAAGTGTTTCACCGCTTTATAGTGCTATTGTAAGTGAGCAATCTAACATGAGACTAAGGACAGTTAGGATTTAGATGAGACTGAGAAGTACTGATTAAAGTACAAACTGTTTTTAAAAGAAGTCTTATAGAGCAGTGGTGGTGCACACCTTTAATCCCAGCACTCGGGAAGCAGAGGTAGGTGTTCTCTGTAAGTCTTTACTGTATTTAAGATTATTTAAGTAATATATTCTGTTGACATATTAAAATTACATGCTTTCTTATAGTGTAGTCAAATTGAGAATTACACTTTAATGTTCCTTTTTTTCCTCTTTTCCTTTTTTGCTTTTGTTTGTTTTTTGTTTGGGGGACAGATTCTTACTGTTGTAGTCTTGGCAGGCCTGGATGTATCCTTGTCAACGAAGTTGGTTGTAAACTCAGAGATCCATCTACCTCTGCCTCTCAAGTGCTGAGATTTTCAAGAATATACATAATTATTTTGCTCAACAGAAGTAATTCTGTCAGGGAGATAACAGTAGTTAAATTTAATTGAAAATAAACTTGTATTATATTGGAATTAAAGAAAAAATATTTTGGAAGTTTAAATGTTTGGTTAGGTAATCCCTAATGACTTGCATATAGTTTTACAATATGCAATATAATACAGTAGCTCTATATTTTTTTCAAGACAGGGTTTCTCTGTGTAGGTCTGACTGTCCTGGAACTCACTTTGTAGACCAGCCTGGCCTTGAACTCACAGAGATCCACCTGCCTCTGCCCCCCAAGTACCGTAATTAAAAGCATGAGCCGCCACCAGCACCTTACAACAACTAAGACCTTTTACATTTTGAACATTTCTTTTTCCTATTCTGCCTTTTACTTCTCAAAGACTGTGCTTCATAGATACTACCAAAAGCATTTTATATGTAATTGCTGTTACTTATAGTCAAATTTACATAAGAAAACTTTCTAGGAAGCCATGTGACTTTCTGCTAAATTCTTTTACAGGATAAACTTACCTTTCTCTATCAGATTGCTTTTGTACAGTTGGAGACAAAAAAAAAAATAGCAAAAAGTAATCAGATCTCTAGATAGCCATTCTCTATCAAGTTTATTGTTAAATTAAGACAAAATTAAACATATTTGATCAATTTGACAGTTTTTCTGGGACAGATTAATTAGAAGCATTTCTGCTTTAACAGGACGACAGTCTTTTGAATACATGAATATGCACTAACTAGTTCAGAAGGCTTAGCTGAACATCCAAAATGGCTTGTTTAAAAACAAGTTTTTATACTTCTTACCTGAGTATGGGAGTGCACCTCTAATCCTGACATAGGCTACAGCAGGAGGATTGCTTCAAGTTTGTGAGCTACCCTGACTATAGAATGAAATCTCTCCCCACTGTATGTGTGTGTGTGTGTGTGTCTGTCTGTCTGTCTGTCTGTCAGTCTGACTGTCTGTCCGTCTGTCTGATCACCACAGCCACCTTAGAAATTGTGCTGCTGAGTACTATTTAAGGAGTTGTGTGTTTATCTTAAAATGTCCCTTTTCATTTGTTCACTGGAACTGATTAAATGAACAAAAGGAATAGTAAAAAGCCTCTTTTTATGTTGGATTATTGACTTGCAAACTGTCACTCATTGGGTACTTATATGCAAAAAGGGTGGTTCAAAGTTGAGCAAGTTTTAGACATTTTAAGGATGTAAATAACTTTAATTAGCATTCTGATAACCAAATCACTGGTACAATTCATTCTGCTTTCATCCTTCTGAATCTATATACAAGATGTATTTTGTTTTGTCATATATTTTTAAGAACTTCAATGAATGTATATCAGTTAATGTTTGATTTGTTTCTGTATAGTATGATCAAAAATAATTGAAAAATTTGCACTTGGTTAATCCCTTGGAAAATTCATTTTGTTTTTTTTAAGGATGTACATTTATTTTGTACATAATAAACTAGCTTTGTATATGACAATGGTTTGAATCTAATAAAAAAATGACATTGTAATGGTAAAAATAAAACAGCACCATTCCCCGAGGGACAGCGGGCCAGGGCCACAAGAGGTGGTTGGCAGTCCCACGAAGAGCCACGTCAGGTGAGAGACAGACAGATAGGCACTCCATGCAGAGTGAGATTGGATATTCATTTGGTGGGTTGTGGAAGGGAAGGGAAGAGGGGAGGAGATGAGTGGAGAAGTTACAGAGAGAGGGAAGAAGAGCTCACAGACGAAGTGGAAGGAAGACCCACTTGCCTCGATGGACCATGGATGGGGGAGAGAGTGGGCAGGGCTTGTCTCTTAAAGGTTTAGGACAGACCATTGCAGACATTACTTTGGTCATTTGAC